AATGTAGAAATAAAGAATAATACTCCTAGTTGGTTCTACCAGTTGAATGAATGGAAAAGTTAGACTATTTAAAAAGTCTTGGGCCAAAAGGTCCAAAGTTTTTTTCTTATAATCGTGCCTTGCCTGAAACACACTTACTGAATTATCAACTAAGTTGCTACCATTTTCTACTTACTTTTAACACTCAGTACTCTGAACTGAATTTTGTAATAGTTTGGCCAGGGCAGGGCAGCTTTTTCTTTGTACTATGATAAAGAACAGCAAATAGGTTTAAGAAGACTAGGTCTTTCTAATCTCTGATTTTACTCCAGAGTTAAACCCTCAAGGCATAAGCCTGGATCCAGTGGACCCACTCCTTACTTATCTACTGTAAAGTTGTACTTTAGCATTTATTAGCCAGTTGAGGTCTCCATACCTTTCCCTGAGGGAAAGAGGAAGCAATTTATGTGTTTACCCACGCGGTGTGATGACCAGCAAGGAGGGTGCACAGGTACAAAGAGGTAAGATAGAATTTGGACCCACTTTTACGCTCCCTCTGACTGCTTTTGTATATATTTATCCTAGCATCACAGAGGGTCTAATAGACCCACAGCGACCCAGAATTTGTTAAAAAAATTCTCTTGATTTTTGTGGTATAAGTAGTCCAATTTAGTACCATGGCACATGAAAAAACAGATTTGCAAGTTTGGAGGAGGCCAAAAGTGAATCATCAGATTACTACGGCACAGATGATGAAGTTGATCCATTACGGTAAAATACATGCCTTCATAACAGAGGACTGGTGTGGGAGGATGACGATGATGATGATGAAGCTGATGGTAACGTTGATGTTGGCCATGTGAGCCAAAGTTCCTGTGCAGTGAAATGGAATAAGAATCAACTGACACAGACACAGGCGATGTAGACTTCTTTCATTTAGATGAGAAAAAAAAAATAGCAATGTGAATACAAAAGCAATGGTTCAAAATATGGTGTAAAAATGTATGCCCTTGTAGATATGGACATCATCCTAGAATTCAGTCCTCAAGTCCTGGTTTGTTTGTTTGTTTGGTTTTGGTTTTGGTCTTTTTGAGACAGGGTTTCAGTATACAGTCCAAACTGGCCTTGAACTCACTTTGTAGCCCAGCCTGGCCTTGAATTGGAACTCCCACTTTCTCCTCTCAAGTGCTGGGATTACAGGGGTGCAACCACCACGCCTGCTCAAATCCTATTTGTATAGTAATAAACTGAATCTCTGGAAGCAACAAAAATTGGGATTTTATACTGGACAATTGGTTTACCAGTTTCCAACTGATGTTACATTCGCTAAAAGAGCACAACTTGACCAGCTCAGGAATGGTACGCAGGAACAAAGCACAGATTCCAAATGAAATGCTACAATTTCAAAATAGAGAATTATGTAGTACAATCTTTGCATTCCAGAAAGATATAACATTGGCCTTGTACATGGCAAAGAAAAGCAAACTGGTATCACTGACATCAACATTTCACCATGATGGAAATATTGATAGGGAAACTTCCACAAAACGGAAGGCAGAGATGAAAACTTTCAACAACAAAAACCGAAATGCTGTTGACAAGTTGTGCAGCAACTATGATGTCACCTGAGACACAAAGCATCGACCAATGGTTGTGTTTCACTCAATCTTAAACATGTGTGGCATAGTCTAATATGCAAATATCAAAATATTTTGGAGAAATGCAAAACACCACGGAAAAATTAACATATGTCTGATAGACTCATGTTTATGTGCCTTGATGACAAAATTAGTCTAATGCTCGAAGGGCTATAGTGAAAAATTCCTTTGAAAATAAATATTTCTTGCCCAAATGAAATTAAATGTACCTGAAAATCTAAAGTGAGCAAAATATCATGGAGAAATTTTCTTAGAGGATTGGAACTGGAGCTCATAAAAGATCATTTACATTCGATCCCCGGTACCGATAAAAATGAAAAAGACAAAAAAAAAAAAAAAGATCATTTACAGCAAAGGAAAAACAAACTCTTTCTGCCCAAGGAACTATACAAAAATATTGTGGAACATACTGATGAGTTGACAGGCAGGCACAGCATTGCCTACTAGTAGAGCAGAAAATCAAAAAAGACATCAATTCTGCCCATAAGAAAGTACAGGAAAATGAAACATAGGTGCTATCAGTGTAAGGGATACCTGTGTATGGATCATGCAGTGGTCATGCATGAAAACTGCCTTAGGTGTGAGTTGAAGCCAAGCCTATTTCTGAGGTAGACTTTTGTTTGTGTTTACACTGTAGTTCACACAGGCTTTGATTTTTGATGTTATCTTTTAGATTTTGTAAGCAAGTAAACGGCTTATGCGAAAACATTGATATCACTTCATATTTGATATTTTATTTTATTGACAGCTTACTTCCCTGCTAAGTGCATGTTTTATAATATAGTAGGAAGTGCCTGACAAAACAGGAAAAGAGGTGACGAGACTGCCACATAGGAAACAAAAGCTAAGCATACATGCTGTTGGTAGATGTGTGCATAGAACATGCAGTTGTCGTGTATGAAGACTGCCTTGGATGTGACAGTTGAAGCAAAGCTCATTCTTGTAGTAGAGTTCTATTGGTATTTTTGTTGTAGTTCATATAGAAATTTATTTCTGATGTTCTCTTTTAGTAAGGAAGTTCATGTGAAAATGTTGAGGTCTATTCTTTTTTTTTTTTTTTTTTTTTGTCTTTTTCCTTTTTATCGGTACCGGGGATCAAACCCACGACTGTCTGCTTGCAAGACAGGCGCTTATGCCGCTGAGCTAAATCCCCAGCCCCTGTTGAGGTCTATTCTAAACACATAATATGTATTAAACATTTAATAATTTATTTTACTGATATTTTATGTTCCTATTAAATATACACTGCATAATATAAGAACCTACTGACAAAACATTAAGACCATCAAGGTGTCACATACGCCCCACAAAAAGCAAAACACATGTGCTGTCAGTGTAAGAAATGCATGTGTGTGGAACATACTGGTGTTATGCTTGCAGACTGGCTTAGGTGTGATAATTGAAATAAAGATTTTTTTGTAGTGTACTGCTGATATTTTTTTGTAGTTTGTATGGGAATTTATTTTTGATGTTTTTTTTTTAGATTTTGTGTACCAAAAAGCAGTCGATTTTGAAAATGTTGATTTTTAATAAACACTCAATAAATATTAAAAACTCAATACTTAATTTTTGTGATTTTTTCCTGTTAAGCATTCATTGTTTGATATAATAAAACTCGTAAATTTAAAATTAATATTTCATCAATAGAAATATTCTGAAATTTAAAATTAAAAAATGTTCTAAAAAATCTAAAAATATTCTGATAGACTCACGTTTATGTGCCTTGATGACAAAATTAATGCTCCAAGGACTACAGAGAAACATCCCTTCAAAAATAAATGTTTCTTGCCCAAATGAAACTGAATGTATCTGAAAATCTAAAATGAGTAATTTTCAGCTGGAAAAATGAGTTAAAGGTGTGGGCAAGTTTCAGTGGAATTACATGCCTGGAAGGAAATGGGCAGAAGATAGAGAAGTGGAGAGGGGGAGAGGGCGACAAAGAATATGAGAGGACGGATAGCTGCTGGAATAAGCAGAACTGGAGGATAACTTCTACTTGTCGAATTACATATACAGAAAACTAAGGTTGAAGTCTTTCACTTTGCAGTATAAAATGATGCTTAAAGCCAGGCATGGTGGTGCACCCCTATAATCTCACCACTTGGGAGGCCGAGGCAAGAGGATCCCTGAGAGTTTGAGGACAGCCCATATTAAGAAGCAAGACCTTGACTCAAAGAAGCTTAAAATACAAAGAAACATTTGTCACAAAGTATAGTTCTTTTCGACTGAATTTTTGAGGTAATTTCCCCCCATAACATAATAACAACTGGAATTTACATAGGTTCTTTGTAGACTTAATGAAAGCTTTAACTGGCAAAACTTAATCCACTAAAGCCACATTAATATAATTAGGCAACTCATTCAGGATAAAGGAAGGTGGGGGGCTTTTTATCGTCAATAAGAGACTTCTTCAGTTCCAAGTAGTGATAGAAAAGCAGATTGGTTTTGATGTTTTTTTTTACACCTTAGTTCCATAGTCTTCTAATTCTTCTGTTCTTGTAAATTTCCCTTTGTTTTCATCTGTGCAAAAAGAATTTCCACCATGGCCAGGGTTTACCACCATGCCATGCATAGCCGTGCACGTATATAATCCCAGGACTCGGGAGGCTGAGGCAGGAGGATCACTGCGAGTTCAAGGCTAGCTGGGGACACGAAGTAAGTTCAAGGCCAGCCTGAACTCCACAATGAATCTTGTCTCAAGGAGACAAACACAAAAAATAGTTTATCACTTGTACCATTTTTCAGGATTATAATCTTGAAAAATATTCTGTGGTAAACCAGAAGCAAACTAAATACATAACCGGAAGTCTGCAGCAAAAAAAAAAAAAAAAAAAAAGGGCTTTGCACTTTTGCACTGGAAGGGTTTCCAGTGAGTGATCCGTGTGGTGGAATCCAAAACGACCCAGTGTATTTCTTTCCAGTTTCTGCACGTCCGGCAAGATGTTGGAAATCCCACCAGGGATGCAAATATTTTAACTGCCCTCTACAAGCCAAACAAGTAATACCTCGGCCCCGCTACTTTACTCCACAGCACGTTGATTTCACAAAGAGCTTTAGGATTTACCTAGTGGGTTAAATTCTTTGATTCCATAGCAGTAGTGATTTTCCATGTCTACTAACACCTGATAGGAGCCTCTTCCTTAGAAAACAAACAAACCAGACTGAGACATCCATGTGGCAATGGAGAGAAGAGGCTCTAACAAATTTAGAGGATTCCTAGCACACAAACACCCGAGCCCTGCAATCAAGGGTCCACGACTCTCAGACCCGAAAGCTGAACCCAAGGTGATGACTACAAAACAGAGAATTGTGGGGGGCGGAAGTGACGCACGCCGCGAAGCATGCTGGTCCGGACGGCTGCGCTCAAATCCTCTTCCCTAGCAGCGTGGCCGCTGAGTACCTAGTGATGCAGAGTTCCTCCTGCTTTTTTCTTTACTTATCAAGATTAGTCGTTAAGTAGCACTTGGTTTGAATACCGCTGTAAGTATTGTACGCCACAGATCAGAACTCTAGAGCTTTAGCTGCAGCCCCTTTGCGCAGCCTCCAGATTTTACGAGCACATGGTCCCAAATCGGAGCCCTGTCCCGCGGAGACACCTAGGTAGAGCGAATGGCTGGGGTGGATATCACAGTTCTCTGCTTCAGTTTTGGGTAGCGGGTGCGGCGTGAGCGCCTCTGATCTCAGGAAAGCTATGTTGAAGGGTTTGACTATGGTTTTGCCGACCAGGATTCCTAGGCAGAGTGAAAGCGGCCTGGAATGGAATAGGATGGAGGGATGAGCGCATCCAGTTTGCCCTAGCTGCGCCTTTGGTCACACTGTGTCCCCGTAGCTTTTAGATTGAATTATAAATACAAGTATTAACCTTGTCCTGGTACAATTAAACGTTTTCAAGTAATTACAATGTCAATTCCTTGTACAGTCCATATATTAATACTCATTTTTGTTCGCGCGCGCGTGTTTGGAAACGGTCTTTCTGGCTTTGGAATCTCTATGTTGCCCAGGCTGGCCTGGAACTGATGGCAGTCCTCCTGCCTCAACCTGCTGAGTGCTGGAATTACAGACATGCGCCACCATGCCTCGCTCATTTTATTTTGAGAGAGTCCTCACTTACTCTGCCCAGTTTTTCGAATTGGTAGGCTAAAGTGATTTTTTCGCTTCAGTCTCCTGAGTAGCTGGGACGACTTGGCATTTGCCACCAGGCCTAGCTCAATACAGGAATATTAATTGTATTAAGTAATGTAATAAGAACTTGAGGCAAATCACTGTTCTGGGCTTCTAGTATAGAGTTTACAGGTAAGACATTTGCATTTATGGAACATGCATGTTAACCCAAATGTGGTGGTTTTAGATTTAGCCACCTGGCAACCATGAGTGAATGGACTAAGAAAAGCCCCCTAGAATGGGAAAAGTACGTTTATAAAGAAGTCAAAGTACTAGCAAGTGAGAAGAAGGAGTATAAAGGATGGCTTTTAACTACAGACCCGGTCTCTGCCAAGTGAGTATGCATCCTGCCTTGAAATCATGATATCCTTTTGAGCTGCCTGTATGTTATAATCAAATTGAGAAAGCAGATTGATGAAAGGCTAATTAGGCTCACAAAAGAATTTAACTGCCTTTGAAGCTAATTGCCTTTCTGACTATGGATTACCCCATCAGGTGAGCCAAATTCCTAGGAATGAGCCTTGAAAACTTTTTTTTTTTGGTACTAGGAATCTAACTCATGACCTCGTGCTTGCCAGGCAGGCACCATGCCACTGAGCTTTGCCCCTGGCCCTCTGTCTTTTTTTTGAAACAGGGTCTTGTTATATAGCCCCGACTGGCCCTAAACCTACTGTGTAACCCATGTTTGCTCCAAACTCATCATCCCAAGTGGTGGGATTAAAAGCGTGTGCCACCATACCCTATTCTTGTATTTTTAATGGAAACTTTCAAACATACACAAAGGTAAAGACAATCCTATAATGAACACTGCCTCCTCCCCCAGGTGTTTTAAACCCAGTTCAGGCATTTCACAACTGTCTTCACAAACACTTCAACATATCTCTTGAAAGACAAGGATTTTTAACATGTAACCACAATTTATGACACCTAACAGAAGTAATAGTAGCACTTTGTAACACCTAACCAAATAATAGTAAACTTAATATTAACTAATTTCTAGCCCATTTAGGTTTTCTCTATAGGCTTAACAGTTTCCCTTTAGGCCGGATGTGGTGGCACACACCTGTCACAGCACTTGGGAGACTGAGGCAGGAGGGTTGCTGTAAGTTTGAGGCCAGTCTTGGTTATATAGTGAGCTCAAGATCAGTTTGTACTGCATAGTAAGATCCTGTCCCCTGAAAAGTTCCATTATATTAGTTTATTCAGGTTGGTCAGTTTGTCTCATAAGTATTTTAATGAATGACTATACTCCCCTCCTTTTGTTTTCCATGTCATTTAGTTTTAAGAACCTAGGTCATCTGTCTTACGGATTCAAACATTCTGGATTTAGCTTGTTGCATTGTCATGGTGTGGTTTCACATGTTCTTTTATCTCCTATGTTTCCTATAAAGTTGTTTTCAGATCTAAAGGTTTGATTTGAATCAGATTTACTTTGTAAGATTTTTTTCTTTCTGTCCCTATTTATTGATGATACTGAAGATTGTACCCAGGGCCTTTGGACTGGGCTACATACTCAGCCCTTTTTAAGAAAATTTTTATTTTGAGACAGAGTCACACTGAGTCACTAAATTGCAAGTCTGGACTCAAATTTGTACTTTATTTTGGACTGATTTTTTTTTTTTTTTTGTCTTTTTTGTTTTTATTGGTACCAGGGATCGAACTCATGACTGCCTGCTTGCAAGGCAGGCGCTTATGCCGCTGAGCTAAATCCCGGGCCCTAACATTCATAACTCTTTTTTCCCTCATAGTGAGGCTTCGAACCCAGGCCCTTACACATACTGAGCATATGCTATGCCACTGAACTACACCCTCAGCCCCATTAACTCTTTAGGTAATACATTACCCATATCCCATCGTTAATTTTAAGCTGGACATATTGTTTACATGTTCAGGCTTTTCCATGAATACTTGTACAAGCATTTGGTGATGAGGATTTATTTCAGACAGGTAAAATGTTCTCCTTTGTTCTTGTGACTTGTTTGGCCTTATGATGCCTGTGACTCAGTTATTTCCTCCGTAGTCTGAAGGGCCTGAGGCTTTTCTTTTGCAAATCTGCTCTCAACTTTCTTTTCCTTCAAAGCATTGTCCTTGTGAACTTCCTTGACGATGGTGGCTTGTCTGTGACGGGAATCATGGGACATTCAGTGCAGACCGTTGAAATTGTGGATGAAGGGGACTGCAGAGCAAGAGAGAAGCTGGTGCGCTTGTTCACGTCTGGAGACTGTGAAGGGTACAGCCCTGAGGACCTGGAAAAGAGAAAGAGCAGCCTGAAGAAGTGGCTGGAGAAGAACCACATCCCCATCACTGAGCAAGGAGAATCCCAGAGGACTCTCTGCGTGGCTGGGGTCTTGACTGTAGACCCGCCGTACTGTCCAGAAAACTGCAGCAGCTCTAATGAGATCATTCTGTCCCGTGTTCAGGATCTTATTCAAGGACATCTTGCAGCTTCCCAAGGAGAGGCCGAGAGCTGTGGGCACACTGATTAAAATCGGCTTCATTTCTTTGTTTCTTCGTCAAAATGTTATGAATGTAAGCCATTCTGTTACAGGACTTCAAAGGTGCTTGAGTGTTGTGTGTATGGTTTAATTTTTTGTTGTTTTGGTAAAATCAAGGAAGGAGCATCACATGCAATGAAGTTAACATAGGGAATTTAAAATATTAAAGATTTTTATTTTTATTATTTTAGAGTGGGGTCTTACTTTGTAGCCTAAAGATCCTCTTCCCCAAAGGGTCTTTTTTCCTGTGATGAGGATATACTGCCCCTCCATCTTTTTTGTTGTGCTGGGGTCTGAATCCAGATTGGTTTTTTTGTTGTTGTTTTTTTTTTTTGGTACCGGGGATTGAACTCACAACCTTGTATTTGCCAAGCAGGCACTATGCTGTTGAGCTAAACCCCTGGCCCCCTTAAAATGAAGACTGTCTTTTCTTCTTTTTTTATACCAAGGATCAAGCTCGTGACCTCATGTTTTCCAGGCAGGCACTTACCACTTTGAGCTAAATCCCTGGCTGCCTAAATCCAGAATCTTGTACTTGCTAGTCAACCACTCTGCCACTGAGCTACATCCCTGGTTTAGTTTTCTGTATTTCTGTTAGGCAAGAAATATATTTGGAGCTGGGCTCAGTGGTGCGTCTTATAATCCCAGGTACTCAGAAGTTGAGCTAGCAGGACTGGCTGGATAATTTAGTGAGACTCTGTCTCAAGGTAAGAAGGGCTGAGGATGTAGCTAGTGATAGGGCACTGTAGCAAGTGTAAGGCCATGGGTTCAATCCCTAGTATGGCAGGATATATATATATATATATATATATATATATATATATATTTTTTTTTAAGTATCTAACTAAAACTGTATATTTAAAATGATTGTCTTTTAATTTGTGGTAATGATAAAGTAGTTTCTAACCAGACTGTGCTATTGTGAGTATGGTTTGTATCTCCTTAAAGGTTCCATGTGTTACAAACTTGCTCCCCAGAGAGGTGGTGTTCAGAAGTGGTGGCCCTTTAAGAGCTGGGCCTGGTGGAAGTCCTCAGGTCACTTGGGGTGTGCCCTCAGAAGCAACTGTGGGACCCTGATCTCTCTGACTTTCTGTTTGGCTGCATGAGATGTCCCCTGCAACCAAAAAGGAGTACTCAGGCAGGCATGTGCCAGCTCACCAAAACTGAGCTGAAGAACCTTTCCTCTTCCTAAGTAGACAGTTGAGAGATATTTTGTTACAGTGCTGAAAAGCATACTAATTCAGAATATATAAATTTCAAAATCTTTGGAGTGAACAGTGGCTGATAACCAAGTGACAAGGTTTTCTGCTACTGAACTCAACCCAGTCTTTTGTGTAGCTGAATTCACCCCTGACTGCGGATTTACATTTTCCATCTGTGGTTGTCTCAGTTATGTGTCTCATTGCTGAGGCACAATACCCAGTAACCCAAAGTTAAAGAAGGAAAGGAAGATTTATTTGGCTCATAGTTTGTGGAGATTTCACTTCATAGTTGGCTGGCTGCAAGACAGAGAGAGGGGCATCGCAGAGGGGAAATAGTTCATGGCAGGCAGAAGCAGCAAAGCAGTGAATTTGAAAGCAGCAAACAGCAAGTGACCCTCTTTCTATCCCTTATATCTTATCCAGCCTATCTGCACTCACACACATAGGGCGAGGCACCCTTAATCCTACCCAGAACTATGCCAAACCGGTCCGTGGGCTAATTTAGTAATCACACACCCTTGATCCCAGCATCATGCACTGCAAATCCAATCACTTCCAAAAAGCTCCATCCATGACCTCATGAGGCTTTGGGGGACATATAGACAAGCCATAACCATGGTCCTTGTTCTCGGGGTTGGGCTATACTGAGGGAAGAGGATGTAGATGTACTTCTTGTTTTTGTTTTTGAACAGGGTCTTGCTGTGTAGTTCAGGCTGAACCTGAACTCAGTATGTATCCCAGGCTATCCTCATCTTCTAGTGTTTCCTGCCTCAGCCTCCCGAGTGTGTGTCACCATGCCCAGCTGTAGGTATCCTTTACCCTCCTTAAAAGCCAGTCTGGGACCAGGGGTGCATGTGGAGGTCCTGGGGTAGGACAGCACGTATTAGTTTGCATTTGTGTCCCACATCAGATTAGAGCTGTAGGTAAATCCCTGCCTCCCTAGCTAGGATAGGGGTCAGCAAACTGGGTCTTGGCCACACTATTTCCACTTCTTAAGTAAAATTTCATTGGAACTTCATGTATTGGTTTACATACTGCATATGGCTACTTTTTTTTTAAGATAGTAAAATCTAACAAAACAGAACAGAACAATGCCAATCAAGATAAAGCAGCAAAATTGGTAGAACTTCAAAGCAGGATACTAGGAAAACAGTAGCCTATGGCTACTTCCGCAGAGTTAAATAGTTGTGACAAACTATCTGCCTTGTATTTACAGAAGAAATTGGATCTTTATATACAATGTTTGCCCTAGAAGACCCTTGAATTGGTCTGTCTTCCAGGGGTTAGGGCTGATTTCCCAAGGCAGTTTTGAGCAAGACAGACCCCGAGGCTGCCACTAGCTGAACTGCTTCCTTGTCTGTCCGCAAGAGCTCCAACTGGGAGGACAGCTTTTTCTCTCATATTATGAGTCCTTTGTCGTTTGTACAAAAGGAGAGCTGGTTTGGGAGAAATGGTTTAAAATATTAAGGTTTGGGGCTGGGGATTTAGCTCAGCGGCATAAGCGCCTGCCTTGCAAGTAGGCAGTCGTGAGTTCGATACCTGGTACCAATAAAAACGAGAAAGACAAAAAAAATTAAGGTTTGGGAATCTGAATAATAAAACAGCTATTTCCCTGCATGTTTGTCGTCTAAAAACAAGACAAGACGTAGTAGCTCAGTGCTTTTGCATGTTAGCAAGCATCAAAATCACCTGGAGAGCTTCCTAAACTAGATTGTTGTGCCAATAGGTTCTTGTAGTATTAAGAATTGAACCCAGGACCTTGCACATGCTAGGCAAGCACTTTGCCATGAAGCTGTATCCCCAGCATTTTTTATTTTGGGGTAGGATCTCACTAAGTTGTTCGGCCTGGCTTTGGACTTGTGATCTTCCTGCCTCAGTCTCCGGAGTAGCTGGAATCACACGTGTGTACCCAGCTAGGAATTTGCGTTTTGAGCAAAATTCTAGATAATGGTGATGCTGTCAGTTCTAGATTGCATTTGAAGAAACATTTTAGAAACTAAGGGAACCAGAGGTCCCTTCCTGACAACTTTTTTCAGTTTTATTACTTATTTACTTATTAAAAATTAATTTTATTGGTACATTTGATATATATAATCATAACATCCATCATATGGAATTTGTGCTCGATATATGATAAATGTTGAATCTCTTTTTCTCCTTTTCTCCCTTCTCTTCAACTCCTCTTTCCTTCTTCCTTATCCTGACAGCTTTTAAGTTTCTAACCCTGAAAGCAAAATTTAGTTCATATCCTTTCCCCCATGACTAAGAGTCCCCTTCAAACCCCAGAACATCTTTAGAAAGCAGGTAGAGGGTAAGGACTGATTGAATTCAGTATGGAAGCTATTCTCACAGGGCCAGGGAGGCTGTGGACAGGACGAGCAGTGTGGGGACCGAGCCACAGCATCAGTTGAGTTGGCTAAGGGACAAATTCTGGTGCATTGGTGTTGATAGACATATTTGCTGTCAGACTAATGAGCTGGACATGTAGACTATTTCCTAGCAACTGAGTCTTTTTATTGGTTGAATCACTTCACTGTAAACAAATCCCGAGTGCTAGAAAGGGGAAATGGTGCCGCTCTGCCTGGAAACAGCCGCTCAGGGAGTTTCCCCAGTGTGGCTCAGCTGAGGGTCTCCTGGGGGCGTGGCTCACCTGGTCTGGCCCCTCTGGGCATGCCGCTGTCACATCTGTGATCCAGAGTCTCCAGAGGACATCCTCCCTGGGCTGGCTCTGCTTACTGTCAGTGCTGAGCAGCAGCCGGGCAGTCTTTGAACATAGTATCAAGAATATGTTTAAAACAAAGACTCTAGTTTGGTTTTCGTGGTACAATCTTTGATCTTTTCAGAAGCAAAATTTCCAACCATTGCACTGATTTCTTCCCATCCAGTCTTGTGCATCTGATTTCTTAAATCCTTCCACTTTCTCCTAGAGATATTATCGCTGAAATAGATTTTTCTTTGACATAAGTTTTTTTAAAAAAGTTATGTGTCAGGAGGCTGAACCAGGATCCAAAGGTTAAGGTCAGTCTGAACAACATAGCTATATAACATCTCTTTCTTTTTTTGGGTAGTGGGGACCAGGAATCGAACTCATGACCTTGGTCTTGCCAGGCAGGCACTGTGTCAACTGAACTATATCCTTAGCCTCTGGATAACATATCTAGAGAGGCCATTTAAAGTAAAGAGAGCCAGGTGTGGTGGTGCATACCTGTAATCCCAGTACTCAGGAGTTTGAGGCCAGCCTGAAGTCCTCATCACCTTGTCTCAGCCCCCCAAATGCTGGGATTGTAGGTGTGCACACCATACTTGATGTGTTACTTTCCAAGAGTGTTGTCATCTAGAATGGCCCTAGGAATAAAGAAGCGTATGTACATACTTTGCCAGACCTTATGGTGTTAACATTTTATTTAACGTTTGCTTCTTAACATTAAATGGTGTTTTAAAATTGCTTTAATTTTATTTCCTTTTTAGCCTTTTTGAGACAAGGTCTCCCTATGCAGTGCAGGCCGCCTTGAGCTCGCTTTATAGCCTGGGCTGGTCCGAACTCACAAGGATTCTCCTGCCTCCACCTCCCAAGTGCTGGGATTACAGGCGTGTGCCACCACGCCCAGCTTATTTCTTTATTAATTAGCATTTTCCATATCTCTGTGTTAATCCAATATGGGAGCCATTTGTCTCATATTTTCATTTTTAAAACTATTACCTGTTTTTGGAACAGGGTCTTGCTGTATAGTTCAGGCTGCCTTGGAACTCCCGTGTTGCTCAGGCTGGCCTCAACTCCTGCCTCAGCCTCCAGAGTGCCGGGGTTACAGATCTGTGCCACCACACCCAGGTTTTTTTTTTTTTTTTTTGGCAACAGGGTCTGTTTCGGTAGTTCAGGCTGGCCTTCAGCTCACTATGTAGCCCAGGCTGGTCTCCAGCCTCCCATATCAGCATCCCTAGTGCTGGGATTACAGGTGTGCACCACTACGCCCAGCTCATGTATTCATTTTAAAAAATTGGATTGAAAAATTGTTTCTCCTATATTTTTATCATCCTCTTGTGTGTATTTCATTGTTTCTACACTTACTCAGATGAGTAGACATGTTAGTAAATGTTAGTAAAAACTATAACACTGTTTTAAAATTTATTTTGATATAATTTCAGATTTACAGAAGAATTTCAGGAAGGATGAGGAATTATATATTTTTCATCTAGAAAATGGGTTTTTTGTTTGTTTTTTTGCTTTCTTGGTATTTTTTTTGTTGTAATATACATGTATGAACTCCCCATGAGGGGTGTGACCATTAGGTACTGCAAATATGCACCAATAACAACAAAAAAGAGAAATCCCTTAGCAAAGGCTAACATTTTACCATATTTGCTTTTTTTTTTTTTCCTGTGTTTGCGTTCATTTTTAAACACAGACCGTCTTCAGATTTTGTCCACTGTCTCAGTGTCCTTTACAGCTTTTTGGAGTGGAAGATTTAGGCAGGATCAGATCTGGAATTACAGACTCTCCTCTCTTACTCTCCTGAGGGCTGGGATTGGCTGTGTGTGTCACCGCCAGCTGTCCCCCGCCCCTGGGGATTGATCCCAGGGTGCCCTGCCACACTAAGCTACACCTGCAGCCCTTTTAATATTCTCTTTTACTTTAATTATTTGTATTTCATTTTGAGACAGGGTCTCCCTGAGTTGTCCAGTCTGATGCTGAGCCTGCAGTCCTCCTGCATCCCCCCAACTTCCTGGGTTACAGGCATGTACCTCATGCCTCGCAAATGATGCTTGGTCTTTCATTTTCAAGTCATTGATACTTCTGAATACAGGCCATTATTTTGTGGAACAATGTCCAATTTGGGTTCATCTGATACTTCCTGTGGGGACATTGGAACGAACCCCTGGGCCCTGTTTCTGTGTGTGTGTGTGTGTGTGTGTGTGTGTGTGTGTGTGTGTGTGTATACTGGGGGTCAAATCGAGGGCTTTGTACCACTGAGCTAAAAAAACCCAGCTCTGAAAGAAGTTTTGTTTGTTTGTTTTTTGGCAGTTCTGGGAATTAAATTTAGGGCTTCTGAGAGAGATTTAGCAGAATTGAGAGACTTGGATAGAGCTCTTAAAGCTTTTATTTTCTAATTTCAATCAACAGGCTTCTGGAGCCTTCAGAGCCCTTCTACAGGCTAAATTTAAGTCAGTTTTATATCTCTGTTCTCTTTCTTTTGTGTTCCTGTTTCTCTTTCTGAATTTCTATCAGAATGACTCGCACATAGCACTTGCTTACAATGTGTTGGTTCCACTGAAGTTATCAGCATAAATGTCATCTCACAATGGATTTCAGACTAGCCATGTAGCACACATTAGCTCTAAATGGGACAGTTGACTTTCTTGTTAACTGATCGGTTTGCATGTTTCAGCTGTGCTTACTTAGAAAAGGGGGTGTAAACTGACTTAAGTACTGCAAATAGGACAGCTGGAGCTTAAGGGGAAGCCCACAGGCGCATCTCAGACCCAGAGGGACAGTAGCCACAGAGATGTCTCTCGTTACTGTGCCAACTCTATAATCAGTGGTTAGTTTTCCTCTGGGGGAGTCCCTGAGCACCCACTGAGCAGGTGGCTCCTGAGTTGGACCGCCATCTGTTTTCTAGAGAGCATAAACACATCTTTGTCATTCTGTCTGGTAAACTTGCCAGTAACCACATCCTCAAACAGATTTTGCCGGTTCAAACTACAGGAGTAGGGTTACTAAGCCTGGAAAATAAAGTTCCTCATTAGGCTCCAGATAGACTGAAACATTGTACACACATCCCATAGAGCAAACCACCACCTTTTCTGTGCTATTTGCCTTTTAGCAACATCGGTCAAAGTCTTCTATGCTGGACATTGTTAACATGAAGATAGAAACAGGACAAGTGTATTTTAAAATTTTAATGTTGGCTTCAGTGTGAGAACTTCAGTTTTGCACTTTCAGTTGGTGCCAAATATTTGTAATGGGGCTGGGGATTTAGCTCAGCGGCATAAGCGCCTGCCTTGCAAGCAGGCAGTCGTGAGTTCGATCCCTGGTAAAACGTATGTACCATTGTTGCCCCAATTGACATGTTTTGTAATTTTATTGTATTTTTTCATTTTTTTTTTTAATCCTTGAAACTTAGAAAAAAAGATTTAGAAAAAAAGAACATGGACTCCCCACATTGCATGTAGTTATCATACTGGAAACGTGGACTAATAAACAATAATTAAAAAATAATAAAAGGCTGGGCTGGAGTTCAGTGTAGTGTGTGGCCTTCGGTTCAATCCCCAGTATCACATACGCAGAAGACCTAACAGTCCTTTTTTTCTGCTCTTTGGCAATACAAAAGATTATTAAGACACCTAAGAGTTTAAAGCACTTCAAGGGTTAGTGATTGTCAACAAGTCCTAGGACCAAACTCTGACACATTAGGAGCAATAATTTGGAAAACAGGAAAAAAGTCTCCATTGTGATGACTCATCATTAACCAAAAGACAGGGAAGAAGCCTATCACCCAGGACAGTCTGAATTTAAGTGACAAGAGCTGACTTTAAGTCTGAGTTGTTTCTGTATGCTCTGTATTGCAAGTTCTCAACTACTGACAGTCATGTTCAAGACCTAAGTATCTGCTGACTTAATTCTTATCTCATAAGTTCACTGTGGACTTTGGTTTTCCAAGCCGTGGTTGCATATTTAGTAACCTTTCCCCTAACTCTCTCACCTCTGACACACCTATGAAATGATGGTATTTGCATTTGGATGTGGCTGCAAGTGACCAGTCCAAGAACTGGCTCCCGCTGGCTGGACAGTTTCATTGTAACTCCCTCGTGGCTGTATGAGCTGCTGCCAACTGGACTTGTGTTAACATCCGCTGGTCCTCCTGGGCAGATGGCTCTTGCTAGAGCAGTGTGAACTCTGGCATAGTAGTACAAAGAGCCAAAAATGGCTCTAAAAAATGTTTTTTGAGAGCTAATGCAGTCATTTCTTCTGAGAGCCCCAGCCTGTGCTGTTTTGTAATGTGACCTTATTGCAACAGCAAGTGAGAGCTTAGGTCTGTGGGTACTGTGCACAGCAATGCTTTTATATGCAGAGTAATGACACGAATTAATCCTTAAAAAGCACTGCTTAGAGTCTGTGCTCTTCAAATGCACTGGGGTTCAAACACTTGATGATTATTAAACTGCCTAGGAGATTTTCTGAAATCATTACTAAAATAGTACCGTGAAAAGCAAACAGCTTTCTCTGAGGTGGTTCTGATTAGTTTGAATTCTACCTATAGTGTGAGCTCTGCAGTAACTGTGCTAAGGTCTGACCATACTCTTTCCACTCAGCTCTTGGGACCTTCCTGGTCACACTGACTAATGACTAGGGAAACCTGCAAATAGCTTTGTTTGTCAGAGTGCCAGCCCATTAACCTAAGTGATGGCTGAAAATAAGCAGCTGACCTAGTGTGGTACACACGCCTGTAATCTCAGCTATTTAGGAAGTAGAGGCAGGGCGATTGTAAATTTGAGGCGAGTTCAGGCAATTTAGAATGAGCCTGTCCTTAAATAATAAAAAGCGCTGGGGATATTGCTTGGCACTCCCTAGCTTCAGTCTCCAACACTGAAAAACAAAACAACCCAAAGATTTCTTCAGAGTGTAAAATATGGCCACTGGTCTGGGAAAGTTCATAAAGGGTAGACTCTTAATGGAGAAGTCAGAAAATGAAGATACAAAGATTAGCCTTTTTAAAAAATCAGTACTGGGGATCGAACACACGACCGAGTGCTTGCAAGGCAGGGCTTATGCCTTGCTGAGCTAAATAATGTCAGCCCCTAAATAAACTCTCTTTTTTTTTTTGGTGGTATGGGAGATTGAACTCATGACCTGACACTTGCAGGCAGGTACTTACACCACTGAGCTAAATCCTTGGCCCTTAGCCTGCTTTTAATGTAAGACCATCTTATATTTTAGTGCCCAAACAAAACTCATTAAAAAAAATTTTTTTTTTTTTTTTGTCTTTTCGAGGCAGGGTCCCACTGTATAGTCCAGGCTGACCTTGAACTCCCTTTGCTGCCCCCCAGGTTGGCCTCAAACTCATGGTGATCCTCTTGCCTCAGCGTCCTAAGTGTTTGGATTACAGGCGTGTGCCACCACACCAGGCTTGTATTTGTTTTTAAATTGACTTTTAATGAGTACAAATAAAAAACCCTTCACAGGTCAAGTTTATTCAATAGCTGACAGCCTAAAATGAAATGTATTTTTCTTACCCACATGATTTTTTGTTTTTCCTTCTCTGTTGTAACTTCTCCCAATTGAATTTTTATTATTACAGGAAAAAAACACAACTATTTCTCCTCATGCCTGATACAAAAACAGGAGAAAAGATACATAGATTATGTATATACATACATCATAAAAGGCAGGAGGAAAAGGATACATAGGTTAAAACAATTGTATTAAACATTCACTTTGTGTATTCGGGTGAACCTCATTCGCTGCCCGCTGCCCGGAACAGTGGAAGGCACAGACAGGGCACAGACAGGCGAGGCGAGGCGGCCTCCCAGGGCCTCCCTGACTCTGCCGAGTGTGCTGTGAGCGCCCAGGACCCTCGGGGTGCGGGCCTCCCTCCCTGGTGGCCCCAGCTCAGGCCTTCCTTGCAGTCTGAGGTAGAAGCGCTGAGTGAAGTCGGGTGAGCAGCAAGCCCCACCTCGGGAGTCTCTATTGTGTGGTGACAAGTTTCACAATCGTGCTGATGATCCGGGAGCCTCGAGGACAAGTACACAGGTCTATGCTGGGGTTTTTTATTTTATCCTGGAGGAGCTGGTCAAGTTCGCCCCGAAGTTCCTTTACTAACTCAGCCACCTACAATGGAAGTTGCAATGTAACAGTGCTTGGAACAACAGGGGAGGACACTTTATTAGGGGGAAAGGTCAGGACTGTAATTACCCTTACTTAGGATCCCACAGTGCCGGGCGGGCGTGGAGCCCAGGGTCTTGCTCAGGCCAGCTAGGAACTACAGCAAGGAGCTGGCACCCAGCCCCCGCCCCCAACACTTTTTTTTTTCAGTACTGGGGATTGAACCCTGCCTTTACACTGAACTACATCTTCATTTTTTTTTTTTACAATTTATTTTGAGACAAGGTCTTACTAAATTGCCTAGGCTGGGCTAGAATTTACAGTGTTCCTGCCTCAAGCTTCCAGAATGCTGGGTTAATAGGCATGTGCCACTATGCCTGGCTTTTCACTTTTTTAAAAAAAATGTGAATATAGACCATTTCAAATCAAACAGTGGCAAATGCTAAAATAAATTTTTATTTTTTAACATTTCAGAAATGTTTCTCATATAGTGTTCAACTTTTTATTTGTTGTACTTTGTTTTTTTTCGGAGACAGGGTCTCACTGTGTAGCCCAGACTGGCCCTCACAGCCATCCTCCTGCCCCACTCCTAAGTGCTGGATTGTAGGCCTGCACCTGTAGCGCTGGGGACGGAACCCAAGGCCTGCTGATGAAAGCATCCTGGGTCCCTTCTTTCTCCCTTTCTTTCATTTCTTTTCTTCCCTTTTCTCCTGTCTCCCCAATCTTTTTCCTTTCTTCTCCCTCTGTTTTTTTGCTTTATAGTGGTTGAATTAGAATAGTTTTTAATCTGTGAAATTGTGCTTCTCTGTGTTTTCTGACTTAGTGTAAAAGCACGCAGGATTTGTCTAACACGAGGAAGGCCCGCCCCTCCCTGGCTTTCCTCCCAAGGCTTCTGTGCCAGCTCCCACTTATTCCAGGCTTTCCTTCCCCAGGTGCTTCCTCCAGGAAGCCTGAGGCACCCACTGTCCTGAGTCCCACTGGGGATGTTCTGCACTTCACATTAGCAAAGCCCCTGAGGGCCGAGCCCTGAGGACCGGGCAGTCATTCCTTTACCTGATGGGAAGCAGCAGCAAAACGGATCCACCCGTCATCCAAGGAGACCACAAACTCTCCCCTCTGAAGCTGCACATTCACTTGGCCCCCCCCAAACAGGACCAGCGGGTACACGGACACCATGCTGCACTCTCGGATGAAAACGCGACTAGTTTTGATCTTCTCATGGTACAACAGGTAGGGGCTGTCAAAATGTCTGACCTGCAACAAAGAACCTCAGATGACAACAGTGATGTCACTGGCACTACCACGGGAACCTTACCGTTCCCATGGGCTTAGTATTAGTCACCCCCAAATTTATATCCAGAGTGAGTCAGGCTTGCACTAACTTTATTGGCTTGGGAGCCAGTCAGGGAGCACAGGCCTGGGAGTGTCTGCTGGGTCAGGGAGGCGTGAGCTTGTGTGCTCTACTGGTTCCTTGTGTCTTGCACTTTGGCACTGTTTCCCCACTCTGCTTCTCAGCACCTGGAACCAAACGTTTTTGTTCCATCATGCCCTTCTGCCAGTTTTCTGTCTTACTGCCAGTCGTGGACTGAATCCCCTGCAGCTGTGCGCCACACTAAACCTCTGCTCCGTGGTTGTGGGTTTTGGGTACTGTGTCTCAGCCACAGAAAAGCCGACTCACACACTTCAGCCAGTACCCTTCCCTGGAGTTCCCTTGTGTGACCACTACTTACCGGCTCCATTTGCACATCTAACAAGCAACTCAAACTTTTCCTGTTCTTGGCTGGAGATGTAGCTCAGTAGTAGAACGCTTACTTAGCATTTACAAGGCACAGAACGGACAAAAAAGATGTAGTATCTTTATACAGTGGAGTACTACTTGGCCACAAAGAAGATAAACTTGAGTTTTACAGGTAAATGGATGCAATTAGAGACCATACTCATAAGTAAAATAAATCAGACTTGCACGTGTAAACATCATGTTGTCTCTCTAGTTTGAGAAGCCTAAAGAAATAATGTATGAAAAACAAAAAAAAAGAAATAATGTATGTATGTGTGCATGTGTATTTATGTATGTGTATGTATATATATATATATATATATATACACTAATTTTTCTTAATTCACTGAAAAAAAATTTGTGCTAATATTGTTTGGACAATTAAATGAATATATCTTGTACTCTGGGTAATTTAAAGATAACAATATGCAGTGTATTAACCATTACTGTATTATTATTAACATTAACCTCTACTGTATTATTATCATTAACCTCTACTGTATTTTGGAATTTTTTTCTCTTTAAAATAAAATTTAAAAAACCTTTTCATGCTTATATATAATTTTTAAAATTTTCTTTTGTATATATATGTGTGTGTATATATATATATATATATATATATATATATTTTTTTTTTTTTTTTTTTTTTTTTTTGAGACGGTCTCACTAGGCAGTTCAGGATGGCCTTGAATTTGTGGCTATCTTCCTATCTCAGCCTCCTGGTTTGTTCACCATGCCTGGCATTTTTTTTAATGATTCTTTTGTTTGTTGGAGGTAGCTCAGGCTGGTCCTGAACTCAGGATGATCCTCCTGCCTCAACCTCCCAACTGCTGGGATTACACCACCATGCCTTGCTTCGAAATGATCCTTTGTATCTTTTTTTGATACAGGGTCTCACTATGCATTTCAAGTTTGCCTTGAACTCACTTTGTAGCCCAGGCTGGTGTCGAACTGCAGTGATCGTCCTGCCTCAGCCTTCTGTGTGCTAGGTGTACAGGCATGCGTTGCCACGCCCAGCTTTGAAAATGATTCTTAATATAAATGTGAAAGGTACGTGGGAGCTTGCTGAGAAATGGCAGTGTTATTCCGGGCACAGGGAACATCATGTCCAGTGTCACGGCACTGGGGAACACTACAGTAATGGTGTGGTACTGTTTGAACCCACAGAAAGCCAGAAGGCGGGACGTGGGGTGGGGTGTGGTATAGGAAGGGGCCTGATGTGAAGGGTCAGGCACAGTCCCTCTACGAACACTTATGCACGAGCCTGACGTGGTCACATGTATGTTGTGCAAAGACCAGGCTGGCTCCAGCAGTGCAGACAGGAGACAGCACCAGAGGCAACATTACAGTAGTACTTGGAACAAGGCCCGGAAGACCGGGCTCCGATCTGAGGGAGTGGCAGTGGGGGTGAGAAGAGCAGCAAACCTTAGAGACGTGAAATGGACTGCCTGCACTGCCTGGACTCGCTGACAACTGGAAATGAGTAAGAAGAAAGAAGCAGGCCATGTGACATGTGACTTCAGCATTCTGAATGTTGGACAGTCTACATTCCAAGACAGGCACAGAGAAAGATAAATCGGGAGCTAATGAGAGCCTCTGAGTGACTGCAGCAGGAAAACCCAGCTTTGGAGAGAAAGACCTGGAGAAGTCTGTGCCAGCAAGCAGACTGCAGGTGGAATCAAGATGCTGCTTCAGGGCCAGGGGCTGCAGGTCCGCTATGGGAGGGGAGATCAGCAATGTCAAATCCCATGTGAGAGAGGACCAGGATTTGACAACTAGGAAACCACTCATGACCCTGGGTGAGTTGGGGCAGGGGACAGAGGCCCCGCAGCTGGAGGAACAGCTCAAGGAAGAGAGCTGAAGAACTGGCAAGAAGAGGCTAGGGATGGAATTAGCTCATGACTTCTTAGGTCACCAGTGCAAACAATAATTCACATCTGAAATCAGGCTGAGCAGTTCTTGTATCCAACAGGCTTTCCGTGAAATGGAAATAATCTTTCCAGAAATAGTCCAATTTCCAGGCTGTTTATACTTACACAACTTTCTCTAAGTCACTGGCACTGCTGGGAGACACACTCTAGTACTGGTAAGTGCTAAAGCAAAGTTTGTCTGATTTAGGGTACGATTCTCACCCGGGGCCCGCTTCATAGACAAAAGCGCACACCACCATTCTGACCTGATAGTTCACTGATGAAGGGTGAATGTGTACATAGCCATCATTCTTGGTGACAAACTTCAACTCAGTTGATTTTGGTTGCATTCTGACAGCTCCAGTACTGGTCTTCTGAAATTTTCCTTCTGGGGTCTTCACCTAAACAACAAATGTTTGTAAAAGTAGATTACAGCCAGCCGATATAGCTCAGCAGCAGCAGCAGCAGCACTTGCCTGGCAAGCGTCACATCCTGATTTGATCTCCATTAAAAAAAAAAAGTAGATTATAATACACACGTATTTCATGAAAGCACTTGTCTCACGGCATAAACCAGTCTTGTCTGACTAGGCTTGCTATTTCCTTTTTCTCTCATTTACTTTGTTTTCTTTGGAAAACAATAAAAGGATCCTTTTTTTTCTGTAAAGTACTAAGACGTGGCAGGTGCACCCAGTAGGACTGGGTGACATGGCAGAGCAGCCGTGCTGCTGATATTCTGGATCTCTACGGACTTGACTCACAGGTGCAGAGATCCAGCTGACAACACTGGGCCAGGGGTCTCAGCATCCATCTCAATCCCAAAGTAACATTTCTAAATGAGTTCTTTTAAAACACAATGAAAAATATCCATAAATAGAGATTATTTATTGAAAAAAATATATTGAAAATCTTATTTTAGACGCAGGCATGGTGGTGCTCGTTTGTTATCCCACTATTTGGGGAATTGAGGCAGGAGGATTCCGACTCCTAGGCCAGCACAGGTTACATGGTGTGTCTCAGGCCAGTCTAACACATAGTGAGATCCTGTCTCAAACTCTTCTTCCCTCAAACTAAAATCTGTGATCACATAATTAAGAATAACTACCATTAATTGATAAATATTATTTTAATTTTCTCTGCTAGGTTTATTTTTAGGTACAGAAAGAGAAAACTATCGGTAAACAATAATATAAAAAGATATGTCAGGGCTGGGGATTTAGCTCAGCGGCATAAGCACCTGCCTTGCAAGCAAGCAGTCGTGAGTTCGATCCCCGGTATCGATAAAAAGGAAAAAGACAAAAAAAAAAAAAAAAAAAAAAAAAGATACATGTGTATTGAAACTAAAATGGAATCTTTTATAAATGATTTTTTACTTAATATATTGAGAACATTTTTTGTGTTCAATATTTTCCAAAAACATAATTCTTAAGGGATATATATAGTACTTCCTTGTGAGAGTCTATAATTTCACCAATAAATTTTCTATTATCAAAAATTCAGATTTCTCCGCTGAATTTTCCTGGCTCTGTCTGTGTCCATATTTGCAATTATTTCTTAGCAGCAAATCCTGCTAATGAAACTTGTATACACTTTTATTCTCACCCAGAGTGAGAGTGGTTATGTTGGAGGCACATGACAGCACCAGTGTTAGTCAGTTTTTAAAAAATTTGCCAATTTTAAAAGTAAAAACTTCTGTTTTTAGTCCTGGGGATTGAATCCAGGGCTTTTAAACTGAGCTACATTCCCAACTCTTCTAATTTTGAGACAGAGTCTCACTGAGAGTGATTGAGGCTCGCTGTGAATGTTAAGCCTCATGCCTCAGGCTACTCAGGTGCTGGAATTATCAGTGTGTACCACCACATCCAGTTTGTTTTTCTTTTTTCACTTTTTCCTGTTTCTTTTCTTTTTATAGTTTTCTCTTTTTTTAAAATTTTATTTAAGGAGAAAAAGAAAAAAAAGCAGAAAAAGGGTACAAGTTATACAGAATTTCAGAAAAAAAATAAACAGTAGGAAATCACTAGTTAATGGATTACATATTGACATCTTAGAAATATTTGTTCAAGTTACAAAATTAAAGCATATAAAGTGGACATTCAAACAGTGAGACTGCAAACAGTTCTGTTCAATGATCCAACAAAACTCAGTAATATTGTCTATCTTATACACTTAAATATACATGCAGTTATATCATTTAGAGCACTTTCTTTTCCTCTCTTTTGTACAATGACTATTATACATTTTGGGTTGTATTACTCCCACAGTTCTTATTACTTTTTTTGGAAGAGAGTAAAACCAAATGTGACATAACAGAACAGAGTCAAATCAAAAGGGTGGACATAATAGATAATGTAAAAACATAATACAAGGTGATCAACAGTGGTTAGCATAATTTGAGATAGTGAGAGGCATTATAATTTTCTATTAGATCTTGGGTTCCTTTAGTCTTCTGTAGGTGAGTTCCTTGTTTTTTTTTTGGTACCGGAGATTGAACTCATGACTCGTGCTTGCCAGGCAAGTGCTTAAGCCACTGAGCTAAATCCCCAGCCCTGTAGGTGAGTTCTTAAAACACAATCAGAACTTTTAAATTTTTACTTAGCCTCAAACAATATTACTTGTCATCTAAAATTTTGGGGGGTCATTTACAATTTTTTTTTTTTTTTTTTTTTTGAGATTGGGTCTCTTTATGTAGTTCAGGTTAGCCTTTAACTCCTGCTGATCCTCCTGCCTCAGTCTCCTGAGTGCTGGGATTACAGGCATGTGCCACCACACCCAGCCATTTAAAATTTCTTATACCATATTTAGGGTTTTGGTTCCTACACTTTAAATTTCCATATAACTTTTTCCCATGCCCCCTCCATTTTTTTCCTTTTTCTTTTTCTTTTCTTTCTTTCTTTCTTTTTTTTTTTTTTTTTTTTGAGACAGGGTCTCACTATATAGTTCACGCTGGCCTTGAACTCACAATGTACCCAGGCTTGCCTTGAACTAGTACTGGCAATCCTCTTGCCTTAGGGTCTTTCTGCAATAGAGCTCAGAGGCACAGATCTAAGCTAAGACCCAGCAGATAAAAGCAACTAGACACAGCAGGCTACATATCAAAGAGCAGATCCATGATACCCCTCCGGCTGAAACACTTGTCATGGGCATAAAGCAACAGCTAAACCTGGACCAGGCTCCCCCAAGGACTCAAAAACTTTCCTACAATGATCAAGAGGCGCTGTTCCCCTACCTCAAAGCCCCCATCACACCAGAGCACACCTGCGCCTTGTTATACAGTAAGTAGGTGGCCTTTGGCAGCCCCGTCCCATGAGGACTGCTATCAAGAAACTAAGATCCTTTTCCTCTACTTTGGAAGGCTGGATACGAGGTGTCCAAGAAAAAAAATCTAATTTACTGATGAGAGATCAAATAGGCTTCGTGGTGGATCAAAGGAAGCACCAAGTGGGCATCAAGTGAAAGCAGGCTGTCTGTGCCCTCCCAGTCCCACCATGCGGCACAGATATGAGCGTTGTTGGGGACAATGGGATTCTGTGGTGTATGAACCTGAAATTTCTCATTTATAGCTAAGCCTCTATAAAAGCCCCCAAAGGCAGGAAAAAAGAGCCATTTTTCTGAGAAGCTGACCAGGAAAAAGCATTTAAACAAACCCAAAGGCCCTGACTCAGGCCCCAGCCTTAGGACTGCCAGATATAACTGAGCCTTTCTTCCGTCCTATATGTTCATGAACAACAACAATAACAACAACAACAAACAGCCATAAGAGTGCTAAACCGGGTCATAGGATCCTGGCATTGCCTGGTGGCATCCCTGTGAAAACAATTAGACTCTGTGACCCTAGCATGGCCCCTGTGCTTCCGGATACCTGCTGCTTTCGCCCTGCTGATACAGAAGGTTGACAAGCTGACGGTGGGACACCAACTGACCATTTGAGTATCACACTCAATTATAACCTTAGTGGACCAAAGGAGGCACCACTGGTTGGCAAATCCAAGGATGACTTGGTATCAGGGACTCTTAGACAAGAGTCTGTCTAGTACCAGAGACAGAAAACATTCTTAACCTGGCTACTTTGCTCCCAGTTGACCTGGGTGTCTCTCTGAGTGTGTGGAAACCATAAATGAAGCATTCTCAAGCTGGAGAGACCTCATAGATCACTCCAGTAGAGACCCAAATGTTGAATACTTCAGGGCAGAAGCGGTTTTGTACTAGAAGGGGTTTGATCAGCAAGACATGCAGTGGTGACACTGAATTCTGTGGTAGAAGCTTAACTTCTGCCTATTAGAACCTCAGCCCAAAAGGGAGAACTGACAGCCCTGACAAGGGCTACCCATGGTCCTTGTAGGAGGCAGATATACCTCCACCAAACAAACTGGGTATTCCCCTCATGAGATCTTGTTTGCCTAGCCACCCATCATGGGCCAAATCAAGGGTGATCTCTGCAAACTGGGGAATATAGGCCCCATAACATAATCTGGTCTACAGCCACAGTAATTGTGCCCATGTCTTACTTTTCTCATGCTGAGACAAAATACTCAACACCCAAAGTTAAAGAGGGAAAGGTTTATTTAGTTCACAGTTTTTAGAGGTTTCAGTCCATAATCAGTTGGCACCAAGGCCAGGTACATGGCAGAGGAGCAACAGTTTGTGGAGGCAGAAGACAGCAAGAGCAACAAGGGAGACTAGACAAACCTCTTTCTGTCCCTTCTATTATAATCAGTCTACCAGGGTTAGGGAGGTGCCAATCCAGTCACCACCTGATCCAGCAATCACCCACCTTAATCCCAGCACTGCACTACACATCAATTATATACTCTAGATTCAGCCACCTCTGAAAAAACTCTGACCACATGAGGCTTTTGATGGGGGAGCATCTAGACACCAACCATAACACCCTGGATCTATCACAGGATCCAGACCAGGTCATTGACCAGTCCATGCACAGCCAAAGCTTGAGGGTCAACATAGAATTACAACACCAACATAAGTCTCTTTTCCTTTTTGTTATAATTCTCCCTCTGCCCAGTAGGGAGCCAACCCCCAGTAACAGGGTAAATGGTAATGATAGTGATGCTCTCTATTAAAACTCATTCATACAAAACATCAAAGGGGAGAAAGAAGCAGGACTTAAAAGGTTGAGTTTCCCCTAACCTTCCCTCCCTACAGTTATTCTTTGTTTTTTTTGTCTTTTTCATTTTTACCGGTACCGGGGATCCAACTCATGACTGCCTGCTTGCAAGGCAGGCACTTATGCCGCTGAGCTAAATCCCCAGCCCCTGTTCTTTGTTCTAATACAGATAAAAACAGTAACCTTCATCCCTGTAAGTAAAGTTGTATAACCTCCTGTTCCCGTCACCCTGTTTTACTGGAGCAAAGCTACCAAGCTTTGGTAAGTTGTAAAACTGCCCCTATTTTACTTCTATAAACTTGCCCATCCAAAAGTTTCACAATGTTAGAGCTCAACCCCCTCAGCAACATGTATAAAATGTGAGCCCCTTCTTGGTCTGGCACTCAGCCCTCTGCACACGAGTTCACCGAGTACACCTAAGATAAATAAAACCTGCTTCTCCCGTGTCAACAGCTATAGGACTGACACTTATGTCCACTCTCATTCTGGAATGTAATAATATGTCAGAAGGACTAAAAAGGCTCCTATTTTTATATAATCAGTGTATTCCTAAATGTGTATCTTATAGACTGGGAGAATTAAAAAACTAGAAATGTATACCAAACATATTTGATGAATCCATGAGTTCGGTATATCTCTGCAAGACGATTAATGGGCACAAATTAAATTTATCTGTTGGTGACAAATCAAAGAAGAACTAGGCGTCATGCTTTATTAAGCAGGAAACATGCTTTATTACCTGCACTACATTTGGATACAGAGCAGCACACAGCACGGCTGATATCAGCTTGGGGTTCTCTGCATTAGAGTTTGCCTATGAGAGAAAAAGAGTATTAATTTTATGAGAATTTTTACCACGCAACATAGCTATTTCAGTGCATGCTCTGAAACTTACTGTTATAACTCATTTCATCTCTATCTAAAGCAAAATAAGAAACAGCCTCTAATTTTTATTTGTTAGTGAGGAAATTATTTTTAAGCTAAAAAATAAATCTAGTAGAACACAGTCACGTAAGACCCACTGTGAGAATCCCACAACTTTTTCTAGATCTCTACAAGGCAGATATAGCTGACTGAGGTAGATAAGGGCCCCTCAGCAGACCTCACGGGATGCCAGTGGTCCTAGTATCAGTGGCAAGGAAGAGTTTGGCTCATGAGCTGTTCAGAATCTCTAGACAGTTCAGGCTGGCCTTAAACCCACTTTGTAACCCAGGTGGCTTTGACCTCACAATAATCACCCATCTCAGCCTCATAAGTGCTGGGATGCCACCATGCTCTTATTATTATTATTATTTCTTTTTGACACAGGGTCTCATGTATCCCAGGCTAACCTCCGCCCAGCAGTCTTCCTGCCCCAACCTCTCAAATGCTAGGATTACAGGCATGTACCACCACACCTAGTCTAAGTTCTTTTAGAACAGGGGAGCACCAAGTTCTCTTCATAATTATGCAGAAGACTTTTTTGTTTGGAAAATGGCTACCCTGATTTGGGAAACATTATTGGAAAGTGTATTTTTTTTTTTTAAATGAAGAATCACTGTGAAATTTATAAAATAAAACGAGCAACAATGAACAGAAAACTCTCCTGTTTTTATATGCAATAGCTGAAAATTTTTTGGGAAGAAAATAAAAAATACCACATAAACTGGAAAAGGTGGCACACAACTGTATTCCCAGCACTCTGGGAAGCAGAGGTAGGAAGATCTAAAGGTTGAACCTAACCTGGACAACTTAGCCATTTTTTTTTGTACCAGGGATCGAACTCACGACCATGCACTTGCAAGGCAGGTGCTTATGCTACTGAGCTAAATCCCTGGCCCACAACTTAGCAATCTAATGAGATCCTGTCTCAAAGTAAAAAGTAAAGAAGGGCTGGGGAGGAGTTCAGCGTGAAAGCCCTGGGCTCAATCCCTAGTATGTGAACAATCAAAACAACAAACCAACAAACACATACTAACCTGTTCATAGGGCTTAAGTGAAGAATATCTGCAAGTGTTTCCAGTTTCATATACTCATGTTCTAATTAAACAGAAACAGGAAGTAACCACACAGTCTTACCTCCTCTCCTGTGGCATCCAGGACACCATCTCCTCCTTGGGCCCTTTTCTCAATTTCTCTTGCTCTGAGTCCCTCCCTTACAAACCCTATATCTGATAACAGTTCAGTGAATTGTCGTTTGAGGCTGGCCATTTCCTGAAAGAAGTGGAAAAAACTTTAAGAAAGGGCATCCACATTCAAAAGATGAGTGGCTGTGCAGCCATACAACTTCTGGGACGGCAGTGAGGCACACAATGACTTGTCAAATAGCTTCAAAGACGCCCTTGTCTGACAGGATCCAAAAAGGCAATTGCCACTTACTTACAAAATCTGGCAGACAAAGGCAGTTACAGAGAAATTTTAAAATTTCAGAGAACCTAGGGATGATTTATTTAACTGTTCATTGCATATTGAAACACTTCTCACTGGAGTTTGGGTAGCTCTAATGTTCCTGGAAACTCTTAGGACAGCAAAAAATATAGCGTATTCTGCTTGTGCCAGTGTCTGCTGTCTGGTTTTCCTGCTGGCAGTTCTGTTCGCGTCTTTTCCGTTCCTTAGCTGGGCCTAGAAGGGTTCAGGGGGTAATCTCAAGGTTTCTTCTTAAACAACCAAATGCATTCACGCATGCGTTTATTCAGTGACTCATTACTAAGCACCTACTATGTGCTAACCACTGCCGTAGGCACTGAGAATACAGACTGAACAAACAGAAAGGACTCTGCTCTGACAGAACTCCTGGGACAGAGAGGAAGAAACTGATGTCAGGCAGTGCTGAGTACACGAATAGCATTAGCTTTATGGTCTAGCCCATGTCATGCTAACATATAGTATGACATAAAGTCGATCCCTCTCTCAGTCCCGCAGCTTTAAGAAAGCTGTCCACCATCATTAGTCTGCCATCTCAGACCACTTTGGAAGGAGGCCTGAAACAATACTGCAATGCAAAGAAGCGCTGTCTGTCACTCCACAGAAGACAATAAACCTGTCTCTCTCTCGTATACCCCTGGCACATGTAGGCTGTAACGCACATAAGACAACTGAATAAAATCTAGCTCAGTATTAGTTCCTGGACTTTGAGGAGAGTAAACCTCTTTTGAGAATCTCATGTAAATGCCATCTTTCTCCCCAGGATAATGCACATATGTTTCAGGGGTGTGTGGATGGAGGTTAAAGATGCCTGCTATAAATTACTGAGAAAACTGACTTCCAGTGAGAAGTAATCTTCATTACACTGATCTCCTGCTCTATCTCTCACATTAAGAATCACATTCTTCTCCAGGAAGAAAAAACAGGTCAGCTAACCGTTTGAGCCCAAAAACCTGATGGCACAGTTCAGAAGTCCATTTGCACAGCTGCAAAAACCAAGCTCGGTCCAAAAATAATATTTTTTATGTCAAGTATAGCCAAGGCATGGTTTTAAGGGCAAATATAGTCAGGCATGGTGCCACATGCCTGTAATTCCAGCTATCAGGAGAATGAGGTGGGAGGATCATAGGTTCGAGTAACTTCGTGAGGCCTTGTCTCAAAAAGATTAAAAAGGCTGGGGATATAGCTTGGCATTCTCTGAGCCCAACCTCCAGTACATAAAAAACAAAACAAAACAAAACAAAACAACAAGAGAGGTAGCATTGCCTGGCTCTCTTGTGGACTCATTACAATGGAAAATGAATGAAAACCAACTGCCATGGAGACAACTCACCTGCAGAGCTCTTCCCGACAAGAAGTTTTGTCTGCAGTAATTGTAACTCGCATGCATGCCTTCTCTTGTACTCAGCTGCCACCCCTAAATTTTGAAGAAAATCAGACTGAATGGACTCTGTATTAGTGTCAACTCTGGCAGTAAACCCAAGGTATGTATTAGGATATCTACTTATAAGTATGTGTACCTTATATGCTCGGAGAAGGGCCAGATAATCACTGTTTGCAACGGCAAATTCCAACTTCTTCTGGTTAGCTTCCTCTTTCTTATCCCAGGGAGACACCTAAGGGAGAAAAACTGGCTTTTAAGGACACATTTTATATGAAGTTTCAAATGGCACTTTCCTAGGGAGGAAGCCGGCCACCTGGGGAAAGCATGTGGAACATGGCATCCTCGGCGGCAGCCAGGACGGCAGAAACCAGCAAGCGGAGGTTCTTTCTGTCCTGAGTCTGTTTGCCTCACTAGTGAGCTCTTCTGGGCCTTCCACTTCCAAGTGGCAAGAGTTATCCAAGAGGTGCTCAGTCTACATGCTACTTCTAAAATAAAAAAGTCTGTTCCCTTTGTGGTATCTTTGTTTTACAACTTTTTTTTCTTTTCAGTGCTGGACATTAATACCAGGGCCTTGCAAGTGCTATTTTAGACTCTTGTTCATCTTTTATTTTTGAATATCGTCAGCTTCCCAATTTAGAAGCAATGTTTCCCTCTATTTTTACAGCGTTTAAAAATGTTATTGTGTCTCCAGCTCTGAAGATGCCAGCCTGAGTTACATCAGGCTCTCACCGACGCAATACCACTAGCAACCATTTAAACCCAACTTCTCTCAAATTTTTGTGTAGCTGAATAACTTTACAGGTAACAAACCAACAACAGACTTTATCTTCTACTGGAAAGTAAAGTTCTTTCCTTCCTAGGAAAGCCAGAGGTTACATTTCGGAGCTTACCATTACGTTTACAGAGCCTAGCAAGGTCAGGTGCTCAGATCTGGCTAATGATAACATCAACATTTCCAAAGAATATTTTCATTTCCCAAAAAAGAAAACAGATGTTTCTTGAGATGATCTGAGAAGCAGGCAATGGAACTTCTGTTACAACACTGATGCTGAACGTCTCTGAGCAAGGTGGGTCTGCTAGAGCTTCGTTTTATCATTGCTATTGAATGAAACAGCTATGCTAACATTCTGTGCCTAAATGTCCTCTCTAAAGCCTCATGTGGCCACAGGGTTTTTTTGGAAATGGCTTAATATAGGTATGTGGCTGATTCATGGTGCAATGCTGGGATTAAGGGTGCTGGGATTAAAGGTGGGTGTTTGCTAGATCAGTCCCTGAATGCACTGGCATCACTCTAGTTCTGATAGACTGGATACAATATAAAGATACTGTTAAGCTTTCTCCGTCTGTTGCTTTGCTGTCTTCTGGCACCATGAATAGATGCCCCTCTGCCATGTGCCACCCAGCCTTGAAGTCAGGAAATTATGGACTGGAACCCCCACAGACTGTGAGCTGAAATAAACTTTTCCCCCTTTAACTTGTGTGTTGGGTATTTTGTCTCAGCAATGAGAAAAATAATGAAGACAGATCCTTTTGTGGATCTATGATTTACAATTCTATGAAGTATAATATTAAAAACTGAAGAAAATAACTATGTATCTATATTTTTCTCCTATATAACATAAGCCGTGGTAAAAAAAAAATAAAGGCAAATTGATGCTCCACTCAACAAGAGCAGAATACCCATTCATCTGAAGTACACGGAGAACACTCTCCAAGAATTTATCACATGCTTGACTGTAAGACAAAGTTCAGTAAGTTTTATTTAGTTTTTTTGAGACAGGGTCTTGTTACACAATTCAGGCTATCCTTGAACTCACTATGTATCCCAGGCTGACCTTGAACTTAACAGTGATCCTCTTGCCTCAGTCTTCCAAGTGCTGGGATTACAGATACGTGCCACTATGCCAGACTTCAGTAAATTTTAATGGGCTAAATAATACAAACTATGTTCTATGATCACAGAGGCCTGAAATCAGAAATAACAGGAAAAAAAAAATCAAGGAACTCACAAATATGTGAAAGTTAAATAATCATATGCCTGTGAGTCACAAAAGAAATGAAAAGAGAATAGGTGACTGGGGTAGAGCTCATGGTAGAAAATCCAGGAAATCAACTAGTAACCAACGCTGGAGAGGCTGTGGGGAAAAAGACACACTTCTACATTATTGGAGGAAATGTAAAGTAGTACAACTACTATGGAAATCAGTATGAAGACACCTCAGAAAACTAACACTAGAAATTCTGTCTGACCCAGCTGTTCCATCTAGGTATCTTTCTGAAAGACTTAAAGACATCATATTACAGTGATCCAGGCATGCTCGTATTTATAGCAGAACAACTCACAACAGCTAAATCTTGCAAGTGGCCTGTATGCCCATCAACAGATAAATGGACAAAGAAAATGTGATATTTATACACAATGAAGCACTAAGCCAAGAAGGATAAATTCAAGTTATTTGTAGGAAAATGGATGCATCTTGCAATCACAGTGTTAAGTAAAATAAATCAGACATAAATATTATATGGTTTCTCTTACATGATAAACTTAAAGAGTATAAATAATTTAAACAGTAAAATACAAGATAAGAAATAAGGAGTTAGATCCTCTGCAAATAAAAAAGAGAACCAGAGATGGAGGGAAAAGGTGAGGGAAGGAACAGGGAGGAGAAGAATAAAGTTGTGTTTTGTACATGTACCAAATCTCCATGATGAATGTAATCATGTAGAGCAAATATGTACTAATAAATAGGAAAAGGAAAAAGAAAATACTCAAATGTTAAGTAAATTGCTCAAGATACATAGCTTTCCCTGAAAAAAAAAAAAGACAAATGATCTCAAAGTCATAATCTAATCTTGTACCTTAAGAGACTGGAAGAAGAGCAAACTAAACCTATACATAAAGTGGCTTGCTGGGAGCGGTGGCACACATCTATAATCCTAGTGCTTGGGAGGCCGAGGCAGGAGGACTGCTGCCAGTTTGAGGCCACTCTGGGCTACACAGTGAGCTCAAGGCCTGCCTAGACTACATAGCAAGATCCTGTCTCAAAAAACCCAAAAAGCTGGGCTCATTTTTAAGATCAGATGATTTTGGGGTTTACATCTCCCTCAGAGATCTATGACATAAACTTCAGTTTAGATGAGTATTGTTTACTTACAAAAGGAGACTTAAAGGCCAAACTAGCAGCAATGGTGAGTGCAGGGTCCAAACAACGGAAGATAGACCCAAAAAGCATCAGTTTGCCGATTCTCACGTCCACGGGCAGAGAGGCCAAGTGGTACCCTAGAGGGGTCAACTTCTCATCTGGAGTTAGCGCTCCCAAGTCGCGTAACCGAACTTTTGAGGCTCGGAGAGAATCAGTGTGTGGTGGTTCAATGAGCCGGGAGAACACGGACTGGAGACTGTGAGTGCTAAACATGTCTAAGATTTTGATTCTGAAAAAACAAACGAATGAGTTGTCAAATTGGTGGAATGATACAGAAGAGTAATTTGTTTCTTGAGTGAGAATAATTTACAATTTAACCAGTTTTTGCTTTTATAAGCCATATAATGCTAGTTTAATAAAAAATTTTTGAAAATCTCTTCTAGTTTCCCTAGAAATAAACTACAGAAACACTTTTAAATTCTGAAACATTTATGTTTATAATAAAATCCTTTTTATAAACTTTCAAATAAATCATCACATAAAATCAAATGATAAAAGGTAAATACTGGTGAGGATGTGGGGAAACGAATCTGTTGTTCATGGGAATGTAAACGACAGACCTGTCATGGGAAACAGAGAGGACAGTCCTCAAAAAATTAAATTAGAACTACCACGAAATCCAGCAATCTCACTTCTGCGTATTCTTCATCTGAAAATTTGCAACCAATGTCTCAATGAGATACTTGCGCACTCCTGTTCATTGCAGCATTAATCTTTGTTTTTTGAGACAGCTATGTAGCCCAGGCTGGCCCTGAACTCATGGCAATCCTCATGCTCCAGCCTCCTAAGTGCTGGGATTACAGGCATGCACCACCACACCTGGCTGCAGCATTTGTCTTAATAAGATGTGGAAGTCACAAAAGTGAAAATTGGTAGGTAAGTGGATGAAGAAAATGTGGTATATAAGTACAGTGGAGTACGATTCAGTTGGCCTTAAAAAAGAGAAATTCTCAGGCTGGGGATTTAGCTCAGTGGCATAAGTGCCTGCTTTGTAAGCATGTGGTCGTGAGTTTGATCTCTGGTACAAAAAAAGAGAGAGAGAGAGAAATTCTGCAATGCATGATAACTGGGTGAACCCTGAGAATATTATATTAACTCACAGGACAAATAGTGTGTGATAGTCCTTATATGTGGCATCTACAATGAATTTACAAAAGCAGGGAGAATGGTGGTTTCCAGGGACTGGAGTGAGGTGGGAGGGGGGATTATTCTACAGGCAGTAAGTCTCAGTTATGAGTGATCCCTGCATTTTCCGTATCAGATCATGAGATTGGCCATCTAGGATTATGCCTGTGCTTCTCAGTACTGTTTGTATATGGCCATGGCTTAGATCTAGAATGTCCTCTAACGGCCTGCTGTGTCACAGGTGGGGCTTCTAGAAGGTGACTGGATCACAGTGGTGCTCTCCTCCTGAGCAGAGGGATCTACTGCTGTGTTCCCAGCTGTCTGTGCTGTCAGGAGGTGGGGCTAGCTGGGAGAGGTGGGCCCTTGGGGCTGGGACCTGAAAGACATCTCTCCTTCCCTGGCTTTTCTCTTCCCTCTCTGCCTCCTGCTGCCAGGTAGTGACCAGCTTTCCTGAGCCACAAGTTTTGCCAAGCAGCTTCTGCCTTGGAGCCAAGTGACCACAAACTGAACTCATCGAAACCCTGAATCAAAGGAAATCTCTCTTCCTGTAAATTGTGGGTGTCAGGTACTGTCCAGGACATAAAAGTGACTAAGACATACGCTTAAATATTTACTAAGAAGGAACATTTCATGGTAAAGTATTACCACAATAAAAACTGGGAATCATTAGCTTGGTTACAACTGCTATCCAATGAAAGGAATTTATGAAAAAATTTAAATCATGAACTTACTGTTTCTCACATTAAAACTGCACACTGATTACAAAATTAGTCTACACTGTATCTTGTAATAGATTTTTAAAGACTAGTATTTTATATTATGACCTTCCATAACTTTTCAGAAGAGAAAAATATTTTTCTTCACTTACAGTTCCTAAAGTTGTTAACTTATATACATATTGTGTTTTGGTTTTTTTTTTTTTGGTTTGTTCGAGGCAAGGTCTCACTATGTAGTCCAGGCTGGCCTTGAACTCACAGCAAGCCTCCTATCTCAGCTTCATGAGAGCTGGGATTATAGGCCTGGGCAAAACATCAACACATCAGGCCAGGGGTTTAGCTCCGTGGCATAAGTGCCTGCTTGGCAAACGTGAGGTCATGAGTTCGATCCCCGGCACCAAAACCAGAACAAACAAACAAAAGAAACATGAGCACACCATTCCTGAACTATACAGTGCTTAGCTCAATGCTTGGAAATAGAAAGTTCTTAAAATATACCTACTGCATAAAAGAAGAGCTATACATCTTTGTACAAATAATTTCCCCCTTCTTTTTGGGCTATTTCTGTTTGAGCATACTCCCTCAAGTAATGACTGGGTCAGGCAGCATGGATAGTTTTACAGTTCTTATACATTGCCAAGTACGTTTTCAGAGATTCCCCAGCCTCAAGAATATTCTACTTGGGAAGGGTTAGGCATATGGATCAGGGATGTGGCATAGCACGTTCCTAACATGCACAATCTCTGGGCTCCATCCCCAACACCACAAAAAGAAAAAAATTTGATCATTCATTTATTAAATTCTATTTTTCCCTAGATACTCTGATATTGGTGCTGCCCAGAGCAGAAATTCCTTGATAAGTTTGACTATTTTGTTTTTCTAATTTACAAATACATTATTAAGTTCTATTTTAGGATCATGCTCCGCAATATGAGAGATTTCCATGCGCAGAAAGTTAAAAGGAATGATAAAGGCCACTCTGAAGAGCTCTTTACCAATAAGTGATGTCCATTCTCAGCAAAATGTTTTCTACTTGGAACAAGGAAAACACAGAATTTAAGTAGGATGAAAAACATTCTAGAAGCAGAATACAAAACTCAAGAAGTGACCTTAGACACAGCTGCTCCAGGGGCACCCTTTGTATCTCTGGAAGCTGCTGCTTTAACAGCTGGTGGTTGTAGTGGTGGCTGGTGAATAAATGGAAGCAGACCCCCGAGGCCACACGGCCTGCGCGGCCTTTCCTTTGCAGAGCATTGGCCTGAGACACAAAAGTATCCTCTAGACTTTCCATCCCTTTGCTGGCATCATATCTATAAAAGAAAAGGAAATACTGAGTTAGTTTACAAAAATGTGGCCCAAACCACCTGCACAGAGATGAAGCACCTCTCCTGCACAGAAGGACACAGTACCCTGTGTGTTCTGGCTGGACGGGCTCCTCGTGGGAGGAACTGATGCCAAGTGAAATGGCATCAGGTGCCACCACACAGTTCCTTCAGATGATTCTTTTCATCCACGCATATGTGAAATCAAATTTAAAAATGAGTAGAAAATAGCTTCCTTATTTCCGAGGTTAAAACTTTTATTTTTACAGCCTTGTTTGACTCTAAGATTCATGCTCTTGGTTATAGAATCGCTCATACATCCACATTTCATTTTCATACAGTATTTTTTAAACAGTAACTCATGTATGTTAGCATCAGCCACTAAGAGCTATGTCACCCTAAATGAAGCATTTTTTTACTCCCTCTGTTATATCACCAAAAGAGAATACCTCTTTTCTTTCATTTTCCCACAGTCGATGACATACACCACGTCATCAATGGTTACAGACGTCTCAGCAATGTTGGTGGAAATTATAATCTTAGTCACCCCTACGGGAGGTTTTATAAACACGGCCTGCTGCTCTTCACTGGATAAAGACGAGTGCAGTGGGTGAATAATACATCTGAAAGGAATAAAGGCACACTAAGGATTCCGGCTCAAAGCACTGAAGTTAAGATTCTAGTGGGTGTATTTCTATCAAATTCCCGACACGAATTCAGCTTCTGTCCACCTGTCCTCAAGGTCCAGCTCTTCAAAATGAGAAGGTTCTTTCTGATCCTTATCTGGGAACTAAAAGTCTGGTACCAACTTGGAAAAACAGTAACTAGTCAAGGGGAATAAATAATATTCTAAGCAACAAACCTAAAGCAAACTAACCAGCAAAGAATAGTCTTTCCTCAACCTTAAATTCAGAGAAAGACAAAGACAATGATCTAAGGTATTTCTTCCTTCTGCTTCTACAGAATGTTCGTTTGTTAGTTTTCCCTTTAGATGTAACTATACTCCCAGGGTACCGCGCTACTAAAACAGCGTTTACAGATTATTTTCTCACTGTGCTTGCCTGGCAAGCGCAAGGTCCTGAGTTCAATTCCAGAAGCAGAAGCAGAAGCAGAAGCAGAAACAGGAGAAGAAGAAGAAGAGGAAGTAGAGGAGGAAGAGGAGGAGGAGGAGGAGGAGGAGGAGGGGGAGAGGAGAAGGAGGTGGCAGTGGCGGTGGCAGCAGTAGCAGCAGCAAAAGAAGAAGGAGGAGGAGGAAAAGGAAAAAGAAAGAAAGAAAAAATGAAAAAGAAAATTATTTTCTCTCAAAATGGTAGCCTTTCTTTGTTGTTCCGAACGCTAGCTCTACCTCTCTCTTCCCTCCTCCCTAGGAATCTGGCAACTGAATTACATGCACGTTTCCCGAGTCACCATGCTATGGCCATACCACCCTGCACACGTCCGATCTCATCTGAGTTACCATGCTAAGTGAAGAACAGTATCTTTGATGAAACGGAATAACTGATTTCTCTAACCACAACCAAACACGTTTGCCCATTTCCATCTGGCACAAATAAATGCTTGAGGAGAAACACCCGAGCTACAGAGGCTGAAGAGTAATGAGACCCTGCTGTTACTCGAGGCTGTAGGCAGCTGCGATGGACGATGAAGGACACGGAGGCAGCCAGCTTACCGATTGCTACGTCTGTTGTTGAAAAGACAGTTAGACTGCAGCTGTTCATACAGCATTTTGATTTCTGCTAGTCCTGGTAAAAATACAAGTACAGCACCTGGTTATATAAAAAGAATAAGATCAATGATAAAGGAAAAGTTAATATGGATTTTAAAGCTACTTTAAACTAACAAACCTTACAAACAGATTTTTATTAGTCAACTCAATTAGCCGCTTACTATCAGTTTTCTTTGTAAAGTCCCAAATGATTTAAATGAATAATACTTTGTTTGCCACACATTTTGACTTAATAAGGAGAAAATAGAGATTACTACCCTTCTGAAACACGAAGATCTGAGGTATGAAAAAGCACAATGCTGGAGTCAAACAAAACTCATTAGCTGAGCTCTTAAACATTTCTTCAGTGCACTGGCCACTGACACTTTGTTTCTACAGAACACTATCCTTCAAAACTTACCAAGTTAGAAGGTTCTTCTCTTAATAATTAAATCCATAAAGATTTTATTGAAAATGAGAGAAAGAAACTGGCTGGTCAATTGGGTAATATAAATTCAGATATATTTTAAAGAGGTGATATATTAACTAACTACATCATATTAGTAGTCTATGGGCTTCACAATTCTACATTAAAGGAAATTAGAAATTCTAATGGATACTAGTGTATTTGTGTGCCAAGATCAGTCACTCAGCAATAGTTACCTACTTTTGTGCTTTATGCACAAAGAAATTGATAGCCTTTCTTCACTAGTTCCTTTCTAGCTCCACAAACACTTACTGGCTGCCTACATCAGCTCTGTCCTAGTACAACAGGATATAAAACAAGGACCTACCCATAAAGAGCACATGGGCTATTATTTAATCAGTTACTTTCTCCACTAAATAAATAATGACTATAACTTACTACAGAATGGAACTCTACAGTAAAAGGGCTGACAGGATCCTGAAGGATTGTTAATACTTCATTCTAGACAACGTTCACACACTTTATTCCATTTGATCCTCACGGTCAGTAAGAAGGGGATCAGTTCCCTGACAAGTGACTCAGGAGCTTGGCCAGGTCACAGACTCAAACCTAGGAAATTTTCCAGACTCCAAAGCCTCGGTTCTTAATCCACTCCCTGCAGGCTCTGTATACAGAGTCTACATGTGATTAAATGCTCAGGTTAGCCAGGGATCATTCAGGCCTGAACAAAAAGCAGTTACCTGGAGGATAGGAGTGCTTGCCATCCACAATCCACTCCAATAAGGCTTCTATTAATTCAAGATTGACCTTTTCAAAATCCATCATGGACATTGTTTTGATGACTGATTTGCTAATTCCTGAAAGAAAGATAAAAATCAGAAGGATAATTCTATCTATTGAAGACAATAGGCCTGTGAACTAGGTGAGTACTGGGTTGACATCATAATATAGATGTTCATATTTAATGTACTTAAGTCTTTTTTTGTTAGTTTATTAGTATGGTTTAGATATACATAGATCACATTCATCATAGGGCGTTTGTACCTGTGCTGACATATCTTGATTCCTCTGTATGTGTTTTCTTTTTAGTTTATCAGAAAATACAGCTTTACCAGAAGTACTTTTTATTGTGAACAATGACCCAGAGTGCAGGTTTCTGCCTATGTTGTAAAGGCTCACATGGGCTGTTGTTAACTCTTTTTCCTCCCCTCCCTCCCTCCCTCCCTCCATCTCACCACCATGTATTTATTGAAAGTTTAAGTTCTGGAAGCAAAATTCAAAGTCAAATGCATTTCAGAAACCCTTTCAGATTCTATCAAATCACAAGTCAGATTACCTTGAAGTCCGGGTAAGAGTAACCCTAGAAGGAAATGGACAGAGATCACAGCTCTCACCCGCTTCTGGGCTGGCTGGCTGGCTGGCTGGCCTGTCATCTGTCTATCTGTTTGTCTGTCTATCTATCTATCTATCTATCTATCTATCTATCTATCTATCTGCCTGCTTGTGGTACTGGGTAATGAACTCTGAGACTGTCAAGCTATATCCTTAGCCCCCTTTTAAAAAATTTTTGAGGCAGGGTCCTACTAAGTCAGCTAGGCCAGCCTCACACTTGCAGTCTTACTCCCTCAGTCTCCCAAGGAGCTGGGATTCTCTGCATGTGCCACTGCAATTATTTTTCCCTTTTTTTAAATAAGCAAGAAGGGCTGGATATGTAGCTCAGTGGCATAGCAGCACCTGTCTGGCAAGCGTGAGGCCGAGTATGATTCCTGGTTTCAAAAATCAATCAATCAAAATAAGGAAGAAGCAGCTCAGAAAAACTAAGCAAGGCTCCATGGAGATCATATATAGATTTCTGTTATCTTGTTTACTGTTCTAGGAGCTCTGTTATTTAGATAAAGAAGCTGCGACCTAAAGATAAGGAACTTGCCCAAGATTATGTTTTTTTTTTTTTTTTAAGGAGTTGGACCTAAGTCTATAAAAACAAATCTCTTCTGCCCTTACATTTCAAAATACTGGGAGTAAATAAAACAATATTTGGGACTATGTGCATCTTCTTATAGAATAGTGGCTAGTTTCCTTATTCCTTGATTATCATTCCTCATAAAGGACTGGGAATAGTCTTTGGTGGTTTTTTTTTTTTTTTTTTTTTTGTCTTTTTCCTTTTTATCGGTACCAGGGATCGAACTCACGACTGCCTGCTTGCAAGGCAGGCACTTATGCCGCTGAGCTAAATCCCCAGCCCCTTTGGTGGTTTTTTTGAGACAGGTTCTTGCTAGGCAGTTCAGGCTGGCCTTGGGCTCACTTTGTAGCCCAGATTGGTCTCAAACTTGCAATGATCCTCCTGCCTCCAAAGTACTGAGATTACAGGAGTGTGCCACTACGCGCAGCCTTAATCTTTGGAAAAGATGAAACAGAAAAACTCATTTGCCTCTTATCATAAGGAAGCAGTAATAGTAACAGGGGTTGGATTTTCTTATTTATTTATGCAAAGTAAGCCTTTTGTGTGTGTGAGTTAAAAAACATAGGGATGGAAGCCCAGGGAAAAGAACACGAAGGCGGCTGAGACCTGTCTCTAGTCTAAGCTGGAAGGAAGAAGGCAAAGCGCAACTGTGGAGATTCTCCGTGTTCTGCCCAGCACACGTGCACAGAAAACCTCAGGTTCAGAGAGTATTCGGGTGAGCGCCAGCATGGGAGGAGGAAGCACCCAACAGCATAAATCGAAATGCTCAGTACACACGTGATTGCACTAATTGATTATTGGAGGCGGGGGCTCACTGTGTTACCCCGTCTGGCCTTGAATTCCTGGGCTCAAATGACTCTCCTGCCTCAACTTCTCAAGGAGCTGGGACAGTAGTCATGTAAATTATATTAGTTTAAAATTCCATGACTAGTGCTAAAACTACTGAGTGAAACTTATAATATTTTTAAATAGTCTCAAATATCTCCGTACAAATGACATAACAAAGGCAATAAACAGGAACTATACAGGGCAGAACCTTAACTAAGTGACCCACTTAACTTCACTAATAATGGGGCAAATCATTATTTGTGCCTCCTGATAAACATGAGAGAACATTTTTGTGGTATTTGAGCCCCAACTGTCCAACCTAAATTTAATTAAGGGCAAATGTCAGACAAACCCAAATGAAAGGACATTCTACAGAGTCACCTTTAAAAATGACAAGGTCACAAAAGGCAAACAAAAGCTAGGAGCTGTTCCAGATCTAAGTATGGTAAAGAACCATGATGACTAAACATAGTATGTGGTTCTGGACAGGATCCGGGACCACTAAAAAAATAGCAGTGATGGGCACTAGTGAGATAACTGGCAAAACTGAAATATGACTGTGGATTAATCACAGCTCCAGTGTTAACTGTCTTCATTTTGACCACTGTAACGTATTTTTAGGTAAGAGTATACCCATGTTCGTAGGAAGTACATATTAGTCATAGGGGTAAAGGACCATCACATCTGAAAGGTACTCTCCAAAGATTCAGGAAAAAACACCTACACATAGAGCCAATGACAATGACAGAGCAATTACAGCAAAATATTAATCAGTGAAGTGGGGCAAAGAGTGTAAGAGGATTTATTGTAGTGTTGCAAATTTTTCTGTACATTTTAAATCAAATAAAAATGAAAAGTTACATTTGCTCAAGACTATAACTTTTATTTATTTTTGAAGCAGTGTCTCATTCAATTGTTCAGGCTGGCCTTGAACTCACAGAGATCCTCCTGCCTCAGCCTCCCAAGTGCTGGGATTACAGGTATCTGTCACCATACCTGGCCACTCAAGTATATAATATTTACTATCTCACAATTTTTCTCTAATGAGCACACATTTTTTAATAATCAAAAAAACCTCTGGAAAATGAGAATATAGTAACCATTGTTCGTTTTTTGTTACTTGGTTTGAATGCCCTGTAATACTTTCATTCTCTTTAATGGTTTTATACTATTTTGTTATGTTTGATACTATTATATATGAAGTTATGCTCAACTATTTCAAAGAAAGAGACATTATGGTAGTCACGATTAATTATGGGTTGTCTTCTGGTGAAATACTGTGTTGCTTGCATTGTTCTGTTCTGATCTGCTTTGTTATGTTCTTTTGGTCTTAACCTCTCTAAAAAAAACCCAAAAACCTCACTGGCAAATACAGTACAGTAACAACATAATGTAAATATGCATCAGGCCTGCTATTTTTCTAAGTTTAAGGTTGTTCTGATGGATTAAAATCAGTAACTATACAAAAAAAGTCATATTTTTCTTCTTCTGGATCACAGTGAAGAAAAATACTAGAAATATTCGACATTTCCCTGGGAAGAAGAAATATTACCTTTGTAGCGAGCCAGGAGCTGCTTGAAATCTAACTGTTGATCGGGCACTGCGTCTTTGACGGAGTCCTGGTCCTGGAAGTGAAGGGACAGCCGCAGGTCTTCTTCCACTTCTTCAAAGGCGGTTCTGTTGCGCCTTGCTTTAAGCTTCTCCTTTGCAATCTGTTTCATGGAGCGCATATATGGGCTCCCATCATGTAAGACGTACCTGAGAAACAAAGACGGAGGAGTGTGTGTGTGTGTGCGTGTGTGTGTGTGTGTGTGGCAGGGGTTGCTGGTGAGGAACAAAAGCATTCACCTACTCTGTGTGCTTAATAAGCAGAATGTTGCTGTTTTGCCCCACTCAAAAGCTGTCCTTCCAGTTTAGGATTCTGATAGCTGTGCCCTAGTTTTGGTTGGAAATATACTGGAACGCCTTGGGTTTTGTCTGGGAAACCAAGTGAGAATTTGCAGAAAAGCCCTATCTGGAAAAAATAGCACCATCAGAAAACACACCTGCGTTACAGCCTCAGGAAACTTTCCCCTCGGTTTCTTCTCTTCCCTGCCAGTCTTCCCCACTCCCAGAAAGCCTCAGCTGTAATCCCCAGGCAGGGAACTCCTCTTTGTTGCAACCCAATCTAGACTCAAAATTCCAGTTTTTGGCGGAACATATCTGTAAGACTATCTTCAAAATATTTCAAAAAACTCTTCTTCATTAAGATACTTTAGTCTTTGTTAATAATACTATCAGACATTATGGCAGTGGAAAATAAACTCAAAACCAAAATGTCTGGAACTGAGTTGTATGTCTGCCATCCAAGTGACATGCCATGAATCTGTTAGCAAATCTATTTTAAACAGCTTTAATGATTTTCTCATCATTTTGGGGAAACTGGCCTAGATAACTGGTTTGAAACTACTTTTCTTTTTTTAAAAATTCATTTTATTTCAAAGAGAGAAAAAAAGGAAGAAATTTTTATTTGAACCCTAAACATTGCTTAGATCCCCCAGAAAGGAGAAGGGGTCCTTTCCTCCCCTCCTACCCTTCTTGGCCAGATCACTTGTTTTTCTTTCTTTAAAGTTTCCTACAAAATTTCATGTGCAGAAAGTATACTTTAGTTTTAAAAAGGGGCATAAAGGCTGAAAATGTAGCCCAGTGGTAAAGCCCTTGCCTAGGATACATGAGGTTCTAAGTTTAACACTCAGTACCACAAAAATAAATATACAAACAAATAACAAGAAATGAAATAAAAATGAAAAAGGGTCTACAGAATGGAGTACATAGCAAGACATTGTCTCAAAAAATATGAGTCTACAATCTGAGTCCCTCCAACCTCTCTCCTCCACTACACGTCACAGCTTTGTCTCACACTCAGCATTCTTTGCTCATTTAACATTTACCAAATGCCTACTTGGTGCAAGGCATTGATTCCCAGTAGCGAAATAAAGGAGAAGAAGAAAATCAAAGAAAAGAACCCTAAACTTCTAATAAAGAACTTCTTTGGGCTAGCGATGTAGCTCAGCGTTAGAGTGCTTGACTAGCATGCACAAGGCCCTGGGTTCAATCCACTATCACGGAAACAAAACAAAACAAAAACTGATTCACATTGAGGGAAATTTCATTCAAGCTGGATGTTAAAGAATAATGAGATAAGGAAGAAAAATGGAATAAAGATAAAGGAAGTACCAGTATGGCATAACTGAGAAGCACTTCAGTCGTCAGATAGCACTCTGGTTGGCATGGAAAGGAGACATAGTAGGAGGGAAGGTTGAATACAGGCTGAGGCGTGGGATACAGGGAACCGGTGACAGTCAACACGGGGAGGATCAGGACGGAGTCTGTGTTTAGAGGGTCATGACTCACTCCTACAGGCAGTGAGTGGAAAAAGTGAAAGAGGATTTCCTCGGAAACTCTCAGTTTGGAGCAGGGCAGGACCTAGAAAGTAACAATTTTAATAAATATCTTAAGTAGGGGCTGGAGATTTAGCTCAGCGGCGTAAGCGCCTGCCTTGCAAGCACGCGGTTGTGAGTTCGATCCCTGGTACCGATAAAAATAAATAAATATCTTAAGTAATCTCCTAACAATAAAATTTGAGAGCAGGAAGTTTTGGGTTTTTGACAATGCTGTACTGTGAAATACATGCAGAGCTGCACATGCCTGTTATCCCAGCACCTGGGAAGTCGAGGCAGGAGGATGCTTGTGAGTTCAAGGCTGGCTTGGGCTGAATTCAAGGCCAGTCTAAACTACACAGCAAGACCTTGCCTCAAAATACACACACACACACACACACACACAAACACATGGAATAGCCCTTATTAGGTGTTATGCTTTACATGTAGATGTCTCCACAGTGTCATTTGCTCATAGTGGGGATTCAGGAAGGCAATGGAATTATGGGTGTGGTACAGCTGACCTGCTGTTAGGGGGTGGGGACTGGTCGGAAGAGGCAGGTCACTGAGGCACGACTTGAAGAGAGTGGCTCCCTCCCTTCTGTTTCCTCCCACCATGAGGTGAGCAGCCTTCCCTTACCCAGACCTTCCCAGCATGCCACCACGCATGCAAAGCCTGGAACTTCTAAAGTGTGTTCAGATGCTAGGTATTTTGTCCCAGCAACGAGGAAAGTGACTAAGACATTAGGGATAGCAGGAGAAAGTGAGTTGTGTTTGAAGGTGCCAGGTCTCGGAGGAATTTTCATTCTAGAACGTAGAAGCCGGGAATGAAGACATTGCTCTTGTCACAGAAACGAGAGCTAAAAAATACCATGAATTGTTTAAATAGTAAGTGGAGAGTTTCCCAGTGAGAGCAAACAAGGGGGCAATAAAATCTTGGGGATCCTCAAGATAAAGAATAGAAGAGAATCTGGTAGTCTACAATGGATGTTACCATTTTCCACCCAGTACTGCAATCATTTACTGAGATAGCTTGCTATCCAGACTGTACTACCAGCTCCTTGAGAGTAGAATGATGAGAGTAACAACTAACATTTAAAATCATGTCCATGCCAGGGGTGGTGGCACACACCTAGAACCCCAGTACTTGGGAGGCTGAGGCAGGAGCATCACCACAAGTTCCAGGCCAGCCTGGAATACATAATGAGTTCAAGACCAGCCTGAAGTACATAGTGAGACTCTGTCTCAAAAAACCAACTCTCCCCTCAAAAGCATGTCCAATGTGGCAGGCATAGTTCTAACTTTACAACTATTAGTCCTTCAATTAATCATCATAATAACCCTATAAAGCGGCTAATATTAAAATCCTCATTTTACGAGTGATGAAACAGACACAGAGATTAAACTACTTGCCAAAGTTACAGTTAGCTAATATTAAAATCCTCATTTTACGAGTGATGAAACTGAGACACAGAGATTAAACTACTTGCCAAAGTTACAGTTAGTAAGTAGAGGGATTTAAATACTGGCAGCCTGTTTGCTGAAGGAAAGAAGAAAACCAAATACTGAAATAGAAAGATCAGAAGAGCCGGGGATTTAGCTCAGCGGCATAAGTACCTGCCTTATAGGTGCGCAGTCATCAGTTCGATCCCCAGTTTAAAAAAAAAAAAAATCAGAAAGACTAACGCATGTATTATTACACTGGCATACTAAAGGTACAGCGAGGGCTGGGGATTTAGCTCAGTGGCATAAGCGCCTGCCTTGCAAGTGTGCGGTTGTGAGTTTGATCCCTGGTACTGATAAAAATGAAAAAGACAAAAAAAAATTCATAAAGGTACAGTGAGATTTTGGTGAACATTTTTTAATTAATATTTTGTTACCTTGTCACAGCAATTGCATCTTCCAGAAAAAACTGATCCACAGGAAAGGTACGACCTAGAAAAACAAGAAAAGAAAATAAAAAGTCTCAAAATACCCCTTAAATTATCTTGAAATAGGTGCAGTTTTTTGTTTCGTTTTTTTTGGTTTTACTATGCAGCTCAGGTTGGCCTTGAATTCACTTTGTATCCCAGGCTTGGGGCAATTCTCCTGCCTCAGCCTCCTGAATGCTGGGATTGCAGGTATGTGCCACCATGCCCAGTTTAACCACAACATTTTTAAAACGTCATATATAAAACTGAAATTTCCTGGCAAGTGGGAACAATACCTAATCAATTGCATTCTATGGTTATGATTCTATTATAAAATTATCAAGTGAATTTTAAAATAAGTTGATTATTAGAATGATACATATTTAATGACATATTTAGTCACCTGGTATAGTAATAACTGGGCAGGAATTGAAATATTCTGAGAAGAGTTCAGCATCTAAAGTCGCACTCATTAAAATAACTTGAAGATTTGGTCTCTGCAACACAATATCCTTCAAGACCAGCAGCAAGAAGTCACTAGAGGACATAAAAGAAACATCAATCAAAGGCACTCTACCCAAATCAGTAACTTTTGATGTATTTGGAGCAAGGAATATGTAAGACTCGTGTGAAAAAAATGTAACACTTCTAGGAATGGTGTCATGTCCCTGGTGTGAGGACTTCACATCATAAGGCCACTGATTCCCAAATTAAACTTCGTATAGTATCAATCAAAATACCAACCAGATCAATCAATAGTTTGATAGTTCTACTTCTTGACACCTATAAGTACATAAAAAGGTGTATCCAACAATCTTCATTATAGCACTGTTTGTAACAGTAAAACAAGAGAAACTATTAACTGGCCATCAAGCAAAACATGGTTTAACTGTACCAGTATGCTCCAGTCAACACAGTAACACAAGGCGGATTAAAAGAAACAAATACAACTATAGACCCTTAACACAGGTCAAAAGAAAACAAACAGGGCTGGGGATTTAGCTCAGCAGCATAAGCGCCTGCCTTCCAAGTACGTAGTCATGAGTTCGATTCTCGAAAACAAACAAAAACTCAAGTTGTGCAATAATACATGATACAAAAAAGCAATACTGGTCTCCCTGCTTCCGCTGAGGCTGCCTTATAATCTATACTCAATATAGTTGATCTATAATTCTGTTCAAATGTCAATCTGAGTGTGCTGTTCTTTGCAAAAGCCTTCAGTGGTTTCCCCATGAAGTCCCTGATGACGAAGCCTTCCTGACGGGCTCTGCACTGGGCTGCTCACAGGCTCCTGCTTGCCCTCACTTGGCGGGCTCCTCTCCACCGCTCAGCCTCCCAGCCTGCCTGGAATCTCCTGACTTGGTTTCTCCTCCACCCTCACTTCCTTCAAGTCCACTGTAAAGGTAACGGTCCAGCAGGGCCTTCCTGGGCCACAAGATTTAAAATTCTAATGTTCCCTCCATTGCAATTCACCCAGTTTTTCCCTCTGCTTCCGCTGGTACTCCCCAAGTCCCGGGAGCTAACCCAGGGCTGAATCCAGGCTCTTTTTTTTTTTTTTTTTAACTTTTTGAGACAGGATCTTACTAAGTCACTACCTTGCTCAGGTCTGGCTTTATTTGTAATCCTCTAGAACAATCAGATATTCCTTAACTTATAAAGTGAGCATATCACTTGTGTAAAGGAAATGCACATTTGAAAAAAAAAAGCTTCCTAAAAAGTAAACATATGTCAATGCATAAAGATATAACCATTTAAGATTTATCACTATCTTATTCTGGGAGTTTTTAAAAATTTTGATCTACTATTTTTACCTAAAAGTATGCTCTTTCTTAGTTTTTAGTGACTTCATATTTAAATTTTTTTATTAGTATATGTTTGCAACTTCGTATTTCTTTGTATACTAGTATACCAGCATATTTATTTCAGCTAATAGTCTTCTGGTCTTTTTATTTGTTTTAGATACTGGGGATTGAACTCATGACCTATCTATCGCTTGCCAGGCAGGTGCTTATGCCGCTGAGCTAAATCCCTGGCCCACTCTTCTGGTTTTATGCATCTTCCCTGTTCAGTTCTTAAAAACATTTTATTAGCTGGATCCTCTCGAAGGCTTTGTTGGTTGTTTCACAGTGAGCCATTTTCTGCTTTTCTTCAGTCAGTTCATCAGTTTACCTAGAACCCTTCTTCTCAAAATACTCATAAGAACATACCACTTTTGGGGAAACACACTTTGCAGGGACCTTCTGCAACTTTCCCACTGCTGTTTTACTCCTCCAGGGCATAATCTACAGGTCAAACTATGATTAACACTGTCTATCTACATGGCTCTTCCTCAGTATTTAAAATAGGGAGAATTTTTAAAGACACAGCTCTTTAATGACTTCTAAGTCCTTAAAATAAAACTGAAACGGTTTCTTGTTCATGTTGTGGAGGCACTGGGAGAGTCGGTGCCTGGTTCTTCCTCCCTACACACCAGCCACGCTGGCCTGCCTGCAGTTCAGGACTAACCCAGTCCCTTGCCACTGCAGAATCTTCACACCGCTGTCCTTGCCCCCATTTGTCACATGAGACTTGCTTTTATAGTTCAGTTTTCAATTCAAAGATAGGGCCTTTGGCCATCTTACTGGTTTCTCCCTCAAACTCAGCATCCTGTTTATCCCTTCGTGGTACTTTGGTGGGGGGGCACTGGGAATCAAACTCAGGACCTTGAGCTTGCCAGGCAGGTGCTTGCACCACTGAGCTACTTCCTGGCTATAGTTACTTAATTGTTACCTGTTCATTATTTATTTATTTTTTACCCAATTATAAGAGAGGAGTGTAAAACCACACACACGTTTGCTCACCTTTGTATCCCCAGTAACTAACATACCACTTGGCACTTAACGCAGGCTCAATAAATATATAAATGAATGTTGACTAAAAGGCCAAAAGAACAAAGGAGGCACGTACTGAGCAGTCCATCAGCCACAGCACACATCACATCTGCTAGTTCTGCTATGGACAGTGGCCAGCTCAGCACGATGCCCAAGAGAGTGCAAATGAATCAGTGAAAAATCCTGTTACTGTTACAGACCCTGGAGATCAAGAAAGCAGTTCCTCTTCCCTAACTTGGCCTTCCCTACACAGGTTACTGTTGCAGGCTCTCGGATGCTGAGCTGGAAGAGAACAGCACTCTCTCAGCCCCATCTTCGCTTCGGGTGTTTGAGTGTTCACCGGGAAAAGCGCTACCCTACCTTTCTTCTGTTCTCTCATGAACTTCATCAACAATGATGTGGGTGACTCCTTGCAGAGCTGTGTCCCCTTCCAGCCTTCTCAGCAGCACTCCGGTGGTGCAGTATAACAGTCTGGTGGCCGAGGACTTACACGCCGAAGGGCAGCATCAAGGATTCATGAAAGTGTTGAAGAAATATTCACTGGCAAGTTATTTCGCATGCACAGGAATAATTATAATACTGAAAGCAACAGCAGTTCTGTACTTTATGTATAACAGTAAGTATAGTTTTTGGCTGGGACAAGAATAAAAGCTTTTCTGCTTCAAATAAAAAATTTGAGATCCAAAAATCATAAAACATTTTTTTTAAATTGAGTAATGAAATTCATTCTGGATTTGTCCTAGGTTCAAGAGCCAAGGAGAATTTACTCAGTTACTCCTAATAAATAACAAGTTTTTATAAAGTAAATGTGGTTCAATCAAATAAAATTTTATACTACACTGTTTCTAAAGGGATTTTAGCCTTACTGAAGGTGATCATTAATTTAAAATAACCTGAAATATCCAAATTGGCCATGGATCTCCAAGACCTCCCTCCCATCTTTGTACCTTAAAACGATAAAATTCTGTCACCAGGAAATAAGCAGAGCATACAAACCTTGACGCTTTCTAATCGAATCTGGTATCCCACGGTCAGACCCACCCTTTCGGCTCTTTCTTTGGCAACTCGTTCGGCAACAGAGATTGCAGAGATCCGTCGAGGCTGGGTACAGATGATGTTAGCCACCTTCTCAGGGGGCCCGCTCAGAGAATCATCCAGAATAAACTGTGGAATCTGTGTGGTTTTCCCACATCTGTATGTCAAAACAAATGAGTCCTAAAATGAAGTTTTCAAGGGCTAGTTAACAGAGTAATCACAGGCACTGAGGAAAATGACAAAGCTAATTAAAATAAATGTTATACAACTTCACCTATCTTCTAAAACGATCCACTGACATATTGCCTGAAGCTAAAAAAATTTTGGAATTTGTACTAACTTTAACAGGGAAATCCAGTAACAGTTTAATTTCTTTCTTCCCTTTTTTTTTTTTAACAGTTCAATTTCATTTATAAAATTGGGGCTACTGAGGTGGTATGGTGGTGCATGCTGTAATCTCAGCACTCGAGAGACTGAGGCAGGAGGACTGCCATGAGTTCAAGGCCTTTGTAGGTTACACAGAGAGTTAAAGGCCAGCCTCCAATATACAGTGAGACTATCTCAAAAAAGAAAACAAATTAAATAAACAAACAGAACTGGGACTATTGGGCAGACATTAGATTAAGGTGTATGTAAATGCCTGTAGGAATATGAAGTCTACGTATGAGTGCTAAAGAAAAGGACTATTAGTTATGGTAATTAAAATATTCTGTAAATTTTCCATTGATGTGTTTTGATTTGACTATAAGTGGACTGAAGCTAAAAGATGGGAAACTGATACAAGATTACTACTATATCACTGTGTCTGACGACAAATGTAGTTATTAAATTGTGTACTCTTCAATAAAGAACAAAATTTAGCTTGCAACTTGCTTCTGCTAAATATGTTTGTTGACATATGGAGAGTGTGAAACAGAAAAAACAATCTACCTTAGTCAGTTCTTTAAAAAAAATTAAATAAAAGCTTTAAGGAAATCAAAATAAATTCAGAAGGTGAAAAGCTTTCAAGATAAATGTTCTACCTTTCAAAATCCTTTTAAAAGTCTTTGGCTGGGCCCTTTTCCTTAAAATTATCTCAAGGTACTGACACAATGTCTATAAATTATTACATAAATTTCTGAGTTTCATTTTGCTCCTAATTTTTCTGATTGCTCTTGATACTTAGAGATGCCTCATATCCATTTTTGCTGTTTGTAATTTGTTACAGCACTTGCAATATCAGTTTCTGTGAAATAGTATTTAATATATGGTAGGGAAAATGGCCAATAACACTAGCTACAGATTTTTTAAACAGTACATTAATGTAACCACGATCCTCGTTGTATTTATAGATGAAAGCTACATCAAAAATAAATTACTGTCTTACCCAGTCATACCACTTATGACAACCACTTGGTGCTTGCTTAACAATTTAAGAATGTTTTCTCTTTCTTCCCAAGCAGGCAGAGATTGTCTTTCCTGTAGCACTGACTGGAACTGTCTGGAAGCCTAATAAAATCAAGGATAAAGATCAGTTGGTTACTTTCTACCACCTTTCACAAAGGTCTGGCTCTAGAGTTCCAGGGTTAATTATGTAAATCAGTTTCACATCTAATGGTAATGCTATAAATACTGTATTTTATATATATATATATATATATATATATATATATATATATTGTATTACACATTGAAATATGAGGGAAGAGGGATTGCAAGAAGATGGTTAATGGGTACAGAGGTGCAGCTGAATGAGTGGAATAACTTCTACTGTTCTACAGTATAGTAGATTCACTATGGTTTACAATAATTGCATATTTCAAAATAGCTAATAGAAAAGATTTTGAATGTTTGGAACCCAAAGTAACTACAAATGTTGCAGTGATAGATAAGGCAGTTACTATGATCTGATTACATATTACATATATGTATTGAAATCTCACACTATGCCCCATAAATTTATATAATCATGTGTCAATTACAAATTTTACCCTGCTGCCACATCCTAGCCATGCTTATTGCACGCTGCTAGACTCCCCAGCCAGACACGCAGGCTGTGCCACTAGTTTAGACAGCATGCCTGGCAGCAAGTGAATGAGAATCTGGACAAGTACCTGGCAGTGACCCGCCTCAGCAAGGAGGTAGCTCAGCACTGTAGCAAAGAGGAATTTGAGCGCAGTACAGCACCCTGTAGGAGTTAGGTGGTATCTGGATTGAACCTTACGTGTACGTGTAGTGCTGATTTCTCTCGATGCTTAGAGATGCCTCATGTCCATCTTTACACACATGCACACACAGCTGTGTTTTCATGGCACTTCCTTCCCAAATAAGGACAAGGGGCTTTTACACTACGGTAGCCTCTATCTAACATATGTCCTGCTCTGTAAGACACGAGCCAGTAAATGTTTTCTATAGAGGGACCAATAGTAAATATTCTAGAATTGATGGTCACATACCATCTTTTGTATGTTCTTAGTTTGGTTCTGAAAATTTATTCACAAGGTAAAAATGATTGTTAGCTCACATTTTACAAGTAATTCCTAGTCTAAGATGAGAGATAAGATATCAGATGGTGAGGTTGAGGACTGGGATGCCACTCCGGTCATGGGCACTGACTCAACCCATACCCTATGAGTGAGCTGGCTTGGGAGCCCTCCCAAAGCCAAGAGGCTGCACAGGAAGGTGGCTCAGTCCAGCTCAGCAGTTTTTCCCCTGCTTCATCACGGGCTCAATAAAGGTGAATGTTGCACATTTAAGTTTTTTTTTTAATTTTTAATTTTAAAAATAGCTCTATGTTTGAACAGTGTAAGAATTTATACATGTCATTTCCTATATATAATTGTATCAAATAACAGTCCTACTAATCAAATTGACTATATAATTTTTTAATCTACCATCTTACTATTTATGGTGTGATTTTAAACATATTTTGATGTTCTTTGGGTATCACAGTATATATTTCAGAATGTTACATAATGTCAAAACTCAGAACTACAGAACTTTAGAACTAGAAGAGCCCTTAAAAAGCATCTAATCCAATCTCCAAATGGATTAAACAATTCACTTTGCCCTACATTGATGGTAAACCTTTTAAAGACAAATGCCCAAACTGCACCCCAAATCCTACTTATTTATTGCAAAATGCCAATACTGCCAATTAACCCCAAATATTTAGGTGTTAGTTTACAAAAAAGCAACTCACATATTAACATCTTTTGTTTGAAAAGAAAACAACACGTGTCATAGTTTCCCCATCTACTGCTCTCACAGTTTCTTTAAAATAATCTTTGTGTGAATGGAGTAAAAACATAAACTTGGCAAATCCAGGGTTGGTTTGAATCCCTACGTTGCCACATACTGAGTCTTTGAAATGAGGGATGAGTGCCCCCTTATCCTGCCACTTTTACACAATGGTTTTCTAATGTTAATCACAGTATTAATGTTCTTTTCACGTATCAGGTTGTCTAAGATAGTACCAAAAGCACACGATTCAAGATTCCTCCACACCATAGCGTGTATACATGTATGTTTGATATACATGTATGTTTGATATGTACCATTGTAAGGTTTTGCAAAACCACTGAGCAGATGCAAACATGGCACACAGGAACTTTAGCCACACAGCGTGAAAGAGCCAAAAAGACACTAGGGAGAACAGTCAAAGCGTCCTAACTCCTAATCCTTCACCCTGACGGTAGGGACACACGCTAGTTCAGCGTACTGTACCTGTTTCATTTGGAACTGCTTGCAGATTTTACTATTTTCAGCATGAACCGACTTTGCCTGCCAGTCATATCTCTTGGAAATCTTTCTCTTCAGGTTGACGTAGCTTTCATTCTCTACTATAACAGGCACAGGACCTTCTTCCTCATCTGCCTCCTCTTCAGGTTCTGATTCTTTTTCAACTTTAAGGGAAGAGAAAGAACCATTTCAGTTTGCCTTTTCTTTAGCAAAGGGAGAAAACCCCTGTCTAACAAAGTAACAAAATCGTAAAATAGAGAAAAAGTTGAAACTTAAGGCAGTTTTAATTCATTTCAATACTACTACTACTGCCAAGGAACTCAAGATGCATCTCCAAATAAAGTTAAGTATAAGTGGTATTGTTACCACTTAAATAAAAAAAGAGTTAAGACTCAAGGAATTAGTGCTGAAATATTTCAATTATTCGCAAGTATCCCCAAAATTCAATCACACAAACCAACCTCAATGTTGATCAAATGATGAACTGGTCAATAAATGTGTTACATCTATACAATGGAACATTAGCCAGCAATGAGAGGAATGCGGTGCTACTAAATGCTATGGTATGGATGAATCTTGAAAATATTCTGCTAGGGGAGGGTGTTTAGTCAAAGACTTACGTGTTATATGACTCAATTCCTATGAAATGTCTAAAACAGGCAAATCCATAGATTGTACATGAGTGGTTTTCAAGGGGTAGGGTGAGGGTAAGGAGAAGGAATTGCCGATAGGCACAGGGTTCTTTTGAGGGTAGATGACAATATTCTATTATTACACACTCTATTCTATGCATAACTCTATACAACATAATAAAAACCAATGAAACTGTACATTTTACAAGGTGAAGGTTGGCTGGGAGTTTAGATCAGTGGAGTAAGTGCCTGCATGGCAAACTCGAGGTTGTGAATTTGATCCCTGGCACAAATAAATAAATAAATAAATAAAATAAAAGGGTGAAGGTTACATACATTTTATGGTATGTAAACTTTATTGCAATAAAGCTACTATTATGTTTTAAAGTCTATGACATGTAATTTGTCATTTCCCAAAGAACACCTACTTGAATCTCAAGTACTAGAATCTACCATCTGAAAGTCAGCTTGTCAGTAAGCAACCAGCTAACCGTCCAGCACCTATATCTCAGTGCAGTTTCATTATTCCCTACTTACTAATGCCTGCCCAGGAAACGGATGAAATAACAAAAACTTTCATCTCTGAAAAAAAAATGGTAAGAAGTAAGAATGGATCTTTTGATGTAAACTGTAGAAGAGGTTTATTTGTTGTTTAAAAATCTGCTCAGCTGGGGATTAAGCTCAGTGGCATAAGTGCCTGCTTGGCCAGCATGTGGTCATGAGTTCAATCCCCGGTACCTAAATAAATAAACAAATAAAAATAAAAATCTGCACAGCACACCTTGATCTGGACAATCCAGAAGCTTGCATACGTATTTCTTTATTTAGATTTAGGTTCATAAGACAGCCCTAGTTTAGTGAATTCTGGCAGCCTGCTATGCTAAAAGCAAAAGGGTATGGATGGTGTTAAAAGCATAAACAAAGATATGAAACCAAATGAACTAAGAATATGTTTCCTGAGAAAGTGCTTACAGCCCTTCTGCCCCTTGGATTTCTTTAGGTTAAACTTACATATCACTTCACACTTCCAATCCAGGGAGCGCAACACAGCAACACAACGGACCTCACAATTAAAGGCAGGTAGATCACAGTTCCGGGGGTTCTTGCCCTTTTGCCCACAGCACTGAATGACCTGCCCAGATCACAGGAATATTCAAAACCAGCCTCATTCTGAATGCCTTCTCCCTGTCCTCTATACATACCTCCTGGAGTTTGACTTGAAACAGAAGAATTACTTGGAATTGCTGGTTTACGACAGGCAGGATTATTTATTCTGGTCCCAGAGGGTGCGGGCAGAAAGTTCACAGGAGGGACACTGTACTTGTGCTGTGTGTTTGTTAGTAACTTGACAATTTCTGATTCTTCCTCTAAAAGGGTTATCAAAGAATATACAACAGGTTCTGAAGTTTCTGCAAATGTCAAAGCTCTGCCATAAAGGAACTCAGAAATATGTAAACGGCAAGTCAGAGGTAGATTCTCATTGGTGGAATAAAATGCCACAAGGGGAGCTTGGTAGGGGTATTTATGGTCTTTTGGAAATCGAATTTCAAGCTCATATAAAAAAGACACGTCTTCATTAGCATTAAGATGAGAGTCATCTACAATTTTTTCAGCTCTTCCAACAATTTGATTTGGGGGCACTTCATGTTTGAATTTGCATCTTGATCCAAATTTACAATTTCCTTTTAGGTAAAATCTGCAGGTTTCAAGTGAAGTGTCTTGTACATTTTTGCTTTCCTTTTGCTTGGACTTGCAGAATTTACTTGTCAGATACTCCAGTTCCAATCCAATGGTCCAGACTCTGTTCTGAATTCTTTCTACAAATTTTTCTCCACAGATGGATTTGAGAGCAAGAGCCTCTTCCTGTCGCTGTTCTACACACTCATGCAAGCTTACACGGCCAGCTGCCTTGGACATTTTCATCTTCTCTCCAAATGTCTCTGCAAAACACTGAGTCAGCAGGTGCTCCAGGGCTGCCCCCAAATCTCCATCACAAATCCTCAGGGCTGCCTGACAGCGTTCAATGTGGAAACCATATCTGCCAAGGGCAAACCAGAACAAAAACATGTAAAAAATGGGGGCTGAGGATTTAGCTCAGCGGCATAAGTGCCTGTCTTGCAAGCAGGCAGTCATGAGTTCGATCCCCGGTACTGATAAAAAGGAAAAAGGCAAAAAAAAACCACATGTAAAAAACTAATATCACTAAGGTGAAATTCATTTAAATATGCTTATATGAATTTGTGACTATATATAAGTAGGCTTGTATTTTGAAAAATTGTTCCTGCTAGTACTAAACCCCTATCCTAAAAGATAGAGTATCAGACATATCAGGTACCGCTGGAGCTCACACAATAGGAAAATATACAAACAAAGGTAGCTGGGATTATAACACAAATTTAGTTGCTTTAAATTCTCCTCCAACTCCCATAAATAATCAAAAGCAATCACCTGGAAAGTCTCTGTGCTGCAAATGGGGAGACTGTGACTTCTGGAACCCAAGGCTGCACGGGGCCTGAGCCCACACATTCCAAGACATCTGAGTCAGGAACCAGGGCGAGTTCTGGCCCCGCTAACCAGTACTGCTCCTCGTCGCAACAATCAGGCTCGTCATCTTCCTCTTCAATGGAAATACCTCTTCTAGCAAAGGCCACATTTTCACATATTAGATATTAATTCTTACTTATTTTGAAGAAAAATTTAGTTAAGGGTTTAAGAAATTAATTCAAGGAGTCAAGGGTATAAAATCCTGACTCTCTTCTGTTGCTGATTTAACTTTTTAAGGAAACAGTAATTTGTATCCTGGCATTTAACATTTATCAGGCACACGTTACAGCGTTATATGCCAAATACTGTCTTAAGAGCTTTATATGTACTCCCGCTAACTCTTTCATTCTTCAAAAACCCTGCCACACGCTACTGGAATCCCATTTTTAAGATGATCAGATGAAACTTAAGAAAGGATTAGTAACTATCTAAGTTTGCACAGTAAGGAAGAACAAGAGATTCTACCCAAGGCAGTCTGCTCCCAGAAACTTTACCTCTATTCTGTTTTTCTCTTCTTATTCACAAATATTGGTGTTTAGTTTTGGCAAGAAGGCCCCTGGTTCAATCCCCACCCCACCTCCCTTTCTTTCTCTGCCCTACACCCACATAGGAGAAAAAAAAGCTGTTTCACTTAGGCAGACAGAAGTAAGAAATCTAATCTTAAAACCTCAGTGGCCTTTATGTCCTTCAACAGATGAATGGATAAGGAAAATGCAGTATTTACACACATGCAGTGGAGCACTACTCTGCCATACAGAAGGGTAAATGAGTCATTTACAGGAAAATGGATGCACTTTGAGATCATAATGTTAAGTCAAATAAATCAAACACACAAGCTTAAATGTGGTCTGTTTTCTCTTATATAAGAAACCTTAAGTATAAATACTTTAAAGAGCAAAATAAAAGATAATAGGAAAGAGGGAGGCAGGTGCTTTACACATGGGAGGGGACCAAGAGACGCAGGGAGGAAGGAGGCTGCAGAGCGAGGACAGGTAGACAGAATTAAAATGTGTTGCGTACATGTGCCACCTCCCCATGATGGATGCGGTCATTTTGAACTCTAAACAAAAATGTAACAAAAATTTTTAAAAATTAAAGAAAAACTTTATCTAATCAACTAAATATTGCTCTTAGAACAATACTTCTGTGGTTTCACTACAAGGTTTCATTTGGAACGTTATCAGTAAAAAAAATAACTGAAGCCATATTAGCATGTCCTGAAAAAAAAAAAAACAGGTTAAAAAGGCAAACTGTATTACTGTCATGGATGGTGCAAAACAAACTCACTCAAAAACTGTGGCTGAATAATTATTCTCGCATTTCTCTTGGCACATGTTCAACTAATGACATGACCACAAGATTAGTTTTGACACACTATTCTAAAGATGCACAGGGCCTTCCTATTGCCAATGTGTCTTCCCTAATGTAATAATTTACTCAAGAAAGATCATTTACTCAGATCCAGCATCAGCATCTTGTTCTTGTAGGTCTCGCAGAAGAGCCTTTACTTTTTCTTGATTCTCTGAGGTCATACAGAGGGTCTGGAGTGGCACTTTGGCCTTGGGTTTCCATTTAGTGCGTGCCTCCTCTTTGTTCAGGCTACTGTTGCTTGGTCTGCAAGGTACATAAGAATAAAATTTTTGTTGGTTTTTTGGGACAGGCTCTTGCCATGCAGCTCAGGCTGGCCTCAAACTCACAACCATCCTCCTGCCCCAGACTCCCAAGTGCTGGGATTACAGGTATGTGCCACCATGCCTGGTTATATATAATCTTGTAATCAGAACTTTTCTGTACTTACCATAGAGTTCCCAAAGACTCACAACATGAACTGGAATGTCAAGGTATCTAACAAACTATGACAAATGTGAAGACTTTCCATTTCCTACAGTATTTAGCAGACTTCATTATACTGTAACAACTGGGAAGAAAACCTGATTAGATTCTAAATCTGGCTTCACTAATGGAGAATTCTCTGGAAAGTGCACATAGACACTTCTGGGAAAAGCAATGTTAAGGACAACTATCTTTGCACTATAAGGTTTTGGAAATAAACTACACATGACAGTTTTTATTTCATGCTACATTAGGTAATCAATTTGAAAACAATTATGTCCCAACTTACTTCTGAATATTAGGATATATTTTTAAAATACCAAAATTATCATTGTTTCTTGATTACAAAAATAATAATACACGTTCACTGTACGAAAGTAAAGAAGAAGAAAAAAACAAGTTACTCCACAAGACATCATTCCTTCTCATGTATATTTTTTTAAATCACAAGGCATATATAAACTTAAAAAATTTTTGCTTTATTTTCATATCAAAATAGCATCAGTGTGTCCCTAGAATTAGATATCCTCCTATAACATAATTTTACTTGATTATTGATGTTTTGTGGCACCGGGGCTCAAACCCAGGCCTGTTCCGCTGAACCTCACTCCAACCCCTACTGTGATTTTCAATGGCTGTACATGGATACAGATCACCGAATTTATTTCGCTAATCTTTCATTGTTGGAATTTAGATTTTTTAAAGGAATTTTTAATATTTAAAATGAATTCTAAAGTTTAACAGCATTCTTTAAAATTTCTTTCATTTGGAATTATAAATTACTTACAACTTCTGAAAAGAATAATCCAAACATCATTTTCCCTGTTTTGTTCTGAAAAATTTTTAATGTACAGAAACAATTTTACTTAGATTCATCAACTGCCACTTGTCATATGCATGCCTACACACAGTCACACTTCTCTTCTTTGTCTCTCTAAACACAATTATATGTCTATGTATGTACCCTCACGTATGGACTTACATCACTGAGCTATCAGAATATAAGCTGCAAACATATTCACCCTTAAATACCTCAGCACATATTTCTTATTAACCAATATACTCTCACATAAACACAATACCATTATCACTCTCAAGGTATTTTATACTGATACCAAAAAATTACGTTACTTAATTATAGTTCATATGCAAATTTCTCAATTTCTTCAATGCTGTTCTTTATAGATTTTTTTTTGATTGAGTATTCAATTTTTAGTTTGTTTTTGTTTTTTGAGCCAGGGTCTTATCATGAAGTCTAGGCTGACTTTGAACTCACTATGCAGCCTAGGATTGCTGTCCTCAAACTTGCAGCAATCCTCCTGCCTCAGCCTCTTGGTTGTTGGGATTGCCATCATATCCAGGAGTATCCAACTTTTAAAGATTGTTATCTTTTTTCCCCTTAAATTTCTTTAATTTAGATCAATTTCCCTTCATATTCCTTTACACTAACAATTCTGAAAAGTTTAGGCTAGTTGTTGTACAGAAATTCAACTAATATCCTTACGATTAGTTTAAAAGTGTGTGTGGGGTGTTTCCTGTCTCATACCCTACTTATGTATATACCTCTGAACTTTGCCTTTCTTTTCTTTTCTTTTTTGTCTTTTTGAGACAGGGTCTCTCTATGCAGTTCAGTCTGGCCTTGAGCTCACTTTGTAGCCCAGGCTGGTCCCAAACTTGCAAGGCTCCTCCTGCCTCAGCCTCCCAAGTGCTGTGATTACAGGCTGAGCCAGCACGCCCAGCCTGCCTTCCTTCTTATTACTAAGGGTAAACCATCTTTGATTTTAAAGTCTGTCCCTCTATTTAGACACGACACTCTGATCTCTTTAACCTCCACATGGAAGTCATTCCAGCACCTAACCATGCATCCTTCCTCCCTCTCTTCCTTCCTTTTAGCTGTAGTGCTGGGGATCAAATCGAGGACCTTGCACATGGCAGTCGAGCCCCCTGCCTCTCAGCTCTGTCCCCGGCCCACCTAACCCGCTTTCTGCATCTTCGGTTCTTTTCTTTGGATCATTCCCATCAGCACCTGCATTTGCTGTGTAAGATCCACATCTTTACAAAACGGAAACCAAATGTCTCCATATGGTCCAACTACTGCCTGACTAAGGCAAGGTCACCAAGTGTGGCTGAACAGATTCTATCTGCACAGTCTCCTGACTGGGGAGGGAAAATAGGGAGAAGAAAAGGTCAGTAAGAGGTAGAATCCAAGGCACCCTCGGCGGGCCGCGCCATGTGTGCTGCTGCAGACTGCGGGGGACACTCTCTTCCTGTTTACATGAAAGCACACTGAATAGCTACAGCTGTGCCCAGTCGGCCTGATAATTCACACATCGCTGCCTCAAAGGCTCCACGGCTTTCTGTCTAATCAAAGCAAAAGTTCAAAGGTGCACAGAGCCCCTCTGAGCTGACTGAACCACTGCCCTCCTCCTGGTCTGCTCGGTGTCCCTGCGGGGCTTTTCTGTCCTCTGAGGCCGGCCAACACATTCCTGCCCGGGGCCTCCGTGCTTACGACTCCCTCTGCCCTTTTCTCTCAGGTGGCTTCATGTATTTTTGTCTTGTTTTGATCTGAGGACATCCTTTTAGAGAAGCCTTTCACATAAAATAGCAACTCTCTCTGTTCTGGTATTTTACTCTCCCTTATTTTTCTCCATGGTGCTTACTACTTGATATATTATTTAGGATCCTTTTACCTCAAATATCCTTTTATGAAGATAACTACAATATTTTACACATTACTGTAATTTTAGTTCCTAAAAGAGTGCTTGGTACTCACTAAATTAAGATTTAAGATTCTAATAAGAGATTTAAGATTCTCTGAATTAAGATTTAAGGTTCTAATAACCTATAATGTCTGTTCTGAAAAACAACAGAGCTGCAATTAACTCAGAAGTTAAATCTTAATCACCAGGTAATGTGAATACGGTTTTAAATTGCTTTGAAAGACTCCTTAGACTGCCGCCAAGTATGAGACACATATTATCTCTCAATATATCCAAAATGACCATTTTTATTTGAGAACAAAGAAAAACATATAGATTGTACAGCTGAATACCAGATGAAGTATTTGATTATTCTGGGGACCACATATGAAGAACATGTATTTAAATTCTACACTCACATTCTCAGTGCAGTAAGAGACTCAAAACTATAAGAAATGCTTAGCAACCGAGTCTAGCCACGGGACTAACAGATTCTTCTTTCTATATTTTGCTCACTACATGGCTCAGAGTCATTTAATGGCACATTTAAACTACCTAAGTGCTACTTGTCTTTTTCTGAATGCATATACTAAATTCATTTAAGTGAAAAGCATGTGTGATACAAGTAAAGCCTGGAGCTCATTTATCCTCCTTTCTGACTAATCTTTAGTTGAGTGTTAGTTCCATTAATATGTTATATTTGTTATATATAGCTTTAAAGTCTCCCTAACTCTAAAAATTATCACAAACAACTCACAAGGCACTTTGAGAAGCAATAGGAAATTTTTATATTTATATTGCATAATATGCACTAGTAAAATCTACTTTCATTAAGTACTTATTAGAAGGACCAGACTTTGCATAGCCAATTACTGGTTAAAAGCTGACATGAGAGAAAGGTTACGACACCTGTTGTGGCTCACCACTTGAAACATCGTCAAATCAGGGCTGATCTGGCTAGAAAATATAATTCATCAGCTAGAAAGAATATGGAGTTAGCTTGTACTTTGGACTCTTTGATTTTTAACATTGATATATGATGCCCAGAGAATACTTAAAACGATTTTCACTGCTCTTATCTGTTCCAGTATTTACTTTCCTAGTAACACTGGGATCCATAGCAGTATTACCCTCAGTTCACAGTGTCATATGGAATTTAAAGTCAACTTCAGATTTCAGCTTACAAAAAGAAAAAACAAGGCTCATGTGTGTCTTTAGGAAGTACCGCAGAGGAGGATGGTCAGGTTAAAAAATAAGGACAATTAACCAGAATGACTTGACCGCTCTCCTCAACCACCTATTATCCCACATGTTACAAACTGTTTGCGGTTTGAACATTAAGGAGTATAATGACCTGGATGATCGCTTTGATTCACCGAAGATACAAAAGTCATCTTCATCATCCCAAATTCTACTTGAAGCCTTCCTAGTGCCACCACCGCCACCGCCACCGCTGCCAGCCCCATGAGATTTATTAGTGTGGCTCCTGCTTCCTCTTCCTCCTCTAGAAGCTCCTTTACCACCTCCTTTGCCTGGCTTGCCTTTCCTTCTTACTGAAGAACTCATCGTTACCTGAAAGAGAAAAAGGTTAAGATTATGATGGGTACCATAAAATCATATAACAATAATAGTCCCATTTGTGACAAAGTTATGCACATAGTATACTGTAAGGAAATAAAGAGAAATCCTTTTTTTTTTTTTTTTTTTGAGACAGTCTCATTAAGCAGTTTAGGCTGGCCTCAAACTCACTAGTCTCAAACTCCTGGCAGTCTCCTGGTCTCAGCCTCCTGAGTGCTTGGACCACATATCCGGCAAAGAAATGCACATTTTAAAAGGGCTAGTGTAGAGGCAGTATGGGTAAACGGTTCAGAAAAAATGTACAAGTGAAAGGGAAAAAATGCACCAGAAAAACTGTTGTTTTTGAAACTGCCTAGCTCTGTAACTGCTTCATGGCTCTGTAATTACTTTTTTGACCCCTGTAACCATGAGCGGGTAACCAAACATGCAGAATGTCTGACTGTATATTAATCTAGTCTTTTTTTTGTCTTTTTCATTTTTATCAGTACCTGGGATCAAACTCATGACCGCCTGCTTGCAAGGCAGGTGCTTATGCCGCTGAGCTAAATCCCCAGCCCCTATTAATCTAGTCTTGTAACTGATGATCTTATCCAGTTAGGTAATCAGAGAAATGCCAGGCTGCTCTGCCTTGCCTTTGTACCTTCTGCTTATGCATCATACAAAAGTACTGGTCCAGAAGCACTGGGTGCCTGGCTTTGTTAAGGACAGATCCCAACCAGAACCACCAGTGTAAAATAAAGCCGTTCACTGCCTCCAAATGCTAGGTGTCATTCCAGTGTTTCTGCTTGCGGTAGCACAGGTGCATGTATCTTAGGACTAACATTTATTCATCTGGTGCAGATTTCCTTCTTATTTTTTCTTTCTTTCTTTTTTTTTTGAGACAAGGTCTCACTCTGTATTTCAGGCTGACTTGGAACTCACTTTGTAGCCCAGACAGGCCTTGAAGTGATCTTCCTGCCTCCGGCTCATGCCTCAGCCGCCAGAATGCTGGAATTACAGGAACTTACCACTATGCCCGGCCTAGTGCAGATTTCTTAACCAAGCGTATGTATCATAAGCCCATGGAAAAGTTTCACCATGCCTGGGCTCTAGCTCTAGATAATGATTTGGTTAGGACTAACACAGGATTTTAAAAACTCTAGTTGAGACTAGATACAGATCTTGATTGTATGATTTGATTCAAAAATTGAAACTTACATGCGACTTACTAGGAACACAGCCCTGCCTCAGAGATTTTGCCCCTGGAAAGAAGCAGGGAATAAAACAGATGGCTCCAAATGGCCTCCCAAAGAAGTGACTCTACTTGTAATTGTTGCAGAATTTTAAAAGATGGGAGAGACCACTGAGAAACAGGAGGATTTTATTAGGTGCACCTGAGTCAGCTGGACTTCTGTTCAAAAGACTGAGCATCTAACACAGAAAAGGCTCCAAGTGTTATCCATGTGCCCAGCAGTTGGTGTGTCTAGTGTCATGAACTAAACAGTGTAACAGGTGAGGTTACAAAAGGCAGTAATTCATGTAGTGACAGTTTTGTAACTTAGAACCTTTGAACCTTGAGGGGACAGGACAATTTCATAAAACTGGATGTTGCAGATGCTGTGGGAGTAACAGGACTCTTTTTTCAGGACCACAATTATTCTTCTTGGGAACAGAGGAAGGGTCAGCTTTGAAGGAAAACAGATCCTGTGGGAGCGAGATGCCTCAGGACTCGTTTACAGCAATTTATCTGTTAATCCTATCTGTAAGGGAGCTGGAACCAGCAGCTACAGGGCAGGGAAGGAATTTGAGAGGGAACTGCTCAAGGCTGGGTAAAACAAAAAAATCTGTTTTCTCTAGGTTCTGCTTTACAATGAAGTATGAAGTTTAAATGTACTTAAAGGTAATAGGGAGATTAAATAACTTAATGGAAATACAGTTTACCATCAGCTAACTAGCTTGCCATGGAGAACCAAGAAATGAGACCATTGGGAGAAGCCCTTTTGGGATCAAACTAAATACCAAAAAGTACCCTCAGAAACTATTGTTTCAAACTAAGCCACAATTCTATTGGGTTAATTTGCAGAGGAATTTGTTCTACCGGACAGGTGTTTGTTTGTTATGCAGTACTGGGATCAAACTCAGGACATCCACACGGTGCTACATCTCCAGCCCATTTTTGTTTGGATAAATAATGCTGCCAGGTATAGTACTTACAGAAGAGTAATGGAGAAGAATAAATTTGAGGTGGGGTAAAAAAATCAGATTAGATACGCTAACATTTTAGATGCCAGCTACTCAAATGAAGACATGTAGGAAGTAGTTGGACATACATCTGCACTGAAGGGAAAGGCAGTGTTATTTAGATTTAGAATGTCCCCAAAAGTCATATGTATGGGGCTTTGGGAAGCTGACTGGTTCATGGGGGTGCTATATGCATTAGTGGATTGATCCCCTGAAAAAAAATGATAGCTGAATGTGCTTTTAGGAAGCAGGGCCTAGCCAAGGAGATGGGTCACTGGTGTGTGATCTGGAAGCTTATATTCTTGTCCTGGGCTCCTGCCTTTTCTCTCTGCTTCCTGGCTGCCATGATATGAGAATTTTTCTTCCACCATGCCTTTTCACCATGATGACTAGGCTTCAGAGCTAGCAGGCCATGGACTAAGCACTCTAAACTGTGAGCCAAATTAAACATCTCCAATTGTGTGTGTTGAGTATTGTGTCCAGCAGAAGAAAGTAGACTAACACAGGAAGGATTAATTTTAAAATATTGTTAAGGAAATACAATTTTCTGTATTTTACAGAGGAGGAAACTAGAGCAAGATAAATTACACAACTTGTCTAATAGCACCAACTAGAGAGGCAAAGCCTGGCATCAAGGTTTAAATGAATTGTGATTTCAGTAAATTTGTTTAACTCCAAAGCTGAGATTCTTTCCATTGAAAGGGGGTTTAGCTTATATCTCAACTTGAAGTTTAAAGAAATTTGGTCTACAGTTGATTTGTGACCAGTTGTTAATTTATAAAGATGACAGAGTGGCAACATGGACATGAATGACATCAAAAGAAAAACTGGGAACCTGGAAGTGGTGGCTGGGAGTGTAATCCAAAGTACTTGGGAAGCTAAGGTAGGAGGATCACAATAACTTCAAGGTTAGCATAGGTAACACACTGAGTTCAAAGCCAGCTTGGACTTCACAGCAAGACTCTGTCTCAAAAAAAATTAACAAAAGAAAGAAAAGTTTAATGACTCACAAATCCCCAGAAAGGAGAGACACACGGCACCATACGGGACCACAGGGAGTAGTAACAAGTTGATTAAGCAGTGTAAAGAAGTGCGGGTTAGGCATGGGCCTATTGAACCAACACGCTTGAGACTCTTGAAATAAATGGATTTATTGAGTCATTACAGAGGCTGGCCAGAAAAAAATCACATCCTGGGACAAGTTTTTGCAAACTGTCAGTTTGCAAAAGAAAAGCAAAGAGCTTCTGTAAATTTTTAAAAAAATTTTAGAGGGTCTCCCTAAGTAATCCAGATTGGACTTGAACTCACTAGGTAGCCCAGTCTGGCCTCAAACTCATATTGGTTCCCCTGTCTAAGATTCCATATTGCTGTTATTAGACACAGCTAAGTTAGGCAGGAATATAACAGGCAGTCAGACAGGGTTAGGCCCTTGAGGGAGTCAGTGCAGAGGATCAGAACATATTACAACTGTTGTTGGAAGTATATCTGTTGAAGGCCAGGCCTCAAGATAAAGATTAGAATGACCAGGCCTACATGCTTTCCTTAGAGAGAAGCAAAAAATTAAAGATTGTACTACAAGTGCTATCACCTGGTCCAATAAAATCTTGATATCAATCACTCAGGCGGGTGACCAGGACCTCCTGCTGATCCATCTCTTCCTAAAAAGGTCCTTGTTTTTTCCACATACACTTGCCATGTGACCTGCTTCTCCACGGGATGAGTATTATCCCAGTGGCTACACTTGTAATCTCATTGGTTAATCATAGTTTTGACCCATGTAGTATCTCATGATTTTGAACTCACCACATGATTTCACTCTCTAAAACTTCCTTTGAGAAGTGGGTTGGTTGGCAACCCACTTTTGGGTGCCCTCCTGTCTCTTAGGAGGGATTTCTCTCAATAAATTTTTCCTACTCTTAACCTCTGTTATTCCTTAGAATTCATTCTTTGATTTTGGGGAACACAAAACCAGCATATCTGACCTCTAGCAGGTTGGGAGTTACGTTATTTCCCCTATATCATTGGGATTACAAGTGTACATCACAAGAGTATTTTTTATTAACCAGAATTTGGGAAAGGAAGGCATAAATTGTTTACATTGTAATGGGGCAGTTGTGTGTGTGGGGGGTCTTTGGAATACAAAGGAAGCCCCTATGAAGTTAGTGCTGCTTCTGGGCTAGGTGGGGTTAACAGTCCAGAAAGTTTACACAGGAGCAGGGTACAATGTTCTTGAAGGTATGTCGGATGGGATTTAAGCCAAAGTTTCAGTACAAATAGTTTTTTTGGTAACTAACTCGCTTTATCTATGAAAAACTTTTTTTAGCCAACCCTCCGCTTTTCTTGGGGTTTCTGCAGGAAAGGCAGGGCAGGGCAGGGCAAACAGGACTGGCCTTCTGTTGATTTAGGGCAGGGCAATACTGTAGGAGAATTATCAACTCAGTGATTTAGCAAGATCTTGTATCAAAATACAAAATAAAAGGGCTGGGGATCTAGTCCAGTGTGAAGAAGGCCCTGGGTTCAATTCCCAGAACTGAATAAAGGCCTAGTGGGACCCCAAGATGTCAAAACATAAATACTATAGAAAATAAAAAACATGACTAATACATCCTTCTAATCTAAATTTTAAAACCCACTAATTACACATTTCCTGACTCCAAATAAGATCATAAGAAAGAGAAGAGCTACAAGTTCTATTTAAAATCTTATTTTTTTCTACAAAAAAGGTAGCATAATTAAAAGCTTAACAGGTGACCAAAAACAATGGGACAAACTGAATTCTGTAATAATTGTAATTCTTTCTAAAATCAGAAAAAAAATATAAAGAAGACGTACAGACAAACAAATCAGAACCACACCTCAAAATCCACCCAACCTAGATAAATTTGTATACTGGTAGGTATTAGGAAAATAATAAGATTCTGTATTGATTAAAACAACTTGTCTCACATCAAAAAAAAAAAAGTTACCTTTACAACCTGAGATTTGCATACAAAATTTTGGATGATGAGCTGCTGGTTGAAATGGTATCCATCCAATACCACTTTTCCCATTTTCCAGGGACCAGAACCTGGTAGTATAATGTACAGGGCCAGAATTCACTATTCTATCCCACCCATCCTGGAAAGGTTCCATCTTTCTTTGCTATGGACGCAGACACCCAAGTTTGACTCTCAGAGTATCCTTTGTTTCACACCTAACTTTGTCTTCCAGTACAGTACGTCCAGCTGGGCACTGAAAACCGAACACAGTCCGCTCTCCCGCCATGGCAAATCTGACTGACCACAATACATCACCGGGCTCCATTCTGACACGGAACCCTTCTTCCATCCCGCACGGTCTCCAACCCCCTCCCCACACAGACACTAGGTTCGACAAGGAGACAGAATTCAGGGCCAGAGCCACCCCAACCCAATCCCATTCGGAGCCTGAATGTCTTCCAGTTCCCCTCAGCCCGGGTGAGGACAACCTCTGCTGCAGACCACCAGACCTAGTGCCAGATTCGGAGGTCCTGCTGGTCCAGATTCACGGGTACCCGGCAGACAGGCGGGGACACAAAGTGGCAGGTTGTCCATCTGATGGTGACCACTCCCGGAGCAGGGAGGCGGTAAACAGGCCACACTGTGACAACCACGGCGACGCGTAGACCGGGGACATTTGCCACTTGTCCGTGGAGGGGAAGGCCGTACCTGGCTCACAACGTTGCTTCCAGGGGCGGCTGTCCGGAAGCGGCGCCCAGGGATCCGGATTCCAGACTGGGTGCTGATCCTCTTTGGGACCTCACCTATAGTGGCCGCACCACGGCCCGGGCGGAGGCACAGAACTAGCGCTCTCTGATTGGCCCCTCGCGTATTCACTTCCGGATGAGAGGTTGCCTGTTTCCCCAGCAACCGAGGCGCGCTCCGAGCTGACCTAGCACCTCCGCCCCAGGTTGCGGAGCTGGCGAATCAAGGGGAATCGCACAGTCCTGAAAGTGTCCAGCATCCCTCTTTATCACGTGAGTGCCCTTCTTCCCAAGGCCTGGCAATGAAAGGCGCCTTTAAATAGAACCCGCGTTGCGCCGGAGTTCGGCTCTTGTAACGTCGTTCCTGGTTTCGCCCATCTCCTGAGAATCTACACTGCAGTGCATAGAGGATTAGGGCGCCGAACAGCCGGGGTCTGGGAATCTGATTGTGGATTCTGGTTCTAATTCGGCTGTCATGAGCTTCTGTGACACTTCAGGCGGATGCCAACCTCTCTGGGCTTCCGTTTCCTTTACAGTGCCAGACGCATTGATCTCTATGGTTCTTCTAGCTCCAAATATTCCAAAGTTTTCATGTAGATCCTTCTATGGACAATTGAAGACAATTTTTTTTTGTATGATTAGATGTATTTTTTGTATGGTTAGATTTCTGTTTAATAGGCACATAATTGCTTCCCAAGGATCATTCATTAACAAAATATTCAGTTCTTATTGGTACTTAGCATTGAACTGGACAGTCAGTCGGGTAATAAAAGAGTTAACTAAGCCACGATCCCCATCCTGAAGAAAAGGAGACTGGAGGGAATTCTAATACATAAGCATTGTATTCGCAGAGCTGTAAATACTGTAAGAGTCTAAGTGTGGTGAGAAGAAAAAAAAGCCATATGTGAACTGCAACTACAAGAAAATTGTAGGTACAGAGTTAGACTGTAGCTTAAGTACTTTACGTGGATAACTTTACTTAGTCTTAGGATGAAGCATAAATAACTTGTCTGAGGCCAAAGAAAATGGTGAAATCCTGATTCAAAACTAGGTAATTTATAACCTGAGCTATATTCTGTTTCTGCAGTTCCTTCAAGGTAAGCGTGAGCAAGAGAGATGTGCGTTCAGGGAGAGTACAGCATGACCCCTACAGGGCACATTTCAAGCAGATCTGGTAACCTGGTTAGTCACAGTAAACACATAAAAAGCAGTTCTGTGTCCCTGTTTCTTCAGAACTTCAAAATTTGAAGAAACATCTGTGTATACCTCCACTTCAACCTTTATCCACAATTAAATTTTAGATATTTTATAGGAAAAATTAAACAAACATGCCTAAATTTAATCCCAGCTACTCAGGCTGAGGCAGGAGGATTACAAATTCAAGGACAGCCTAGGCAATTTTGCAAGACCCTATCTCAAAATAAAAAGGACTGGAGATTAGCTCAGCAGTGGAGCACCCCTTGGTTCATCTCTTAGTGTTGCACAAACAAAATTATCAATTCCCGTGCTCTACCCATGGAGATTCTTTTTTTCTGTCTGTCTGTCTGTCTCTTTCTTTCTCCTTCCTTCTTTTCTTTTGTGCTTTTTGGGACAGGATCTCACTATGTAGTTGATGCTGGCCCTGACCTCACTGTGTAAACCCAGGCTGGTCTGGAACTCTTGCCTCAGCCTCCCTAGTACTGGAATTACAGGAATGTGCCAACACACCCAGTTTTCCCATGGAGACTGATGTGAGATAGGCCCTAGAAATTTCAAAATATCCCAAGTGATTCTGATACATAAGCTACACTTTCAGTGACATTTTAATAGAGTCTGCCATCCAAGAACTTAATCTGCTTATCCTCTGTTTTCTTCAGTATTGGAGGAAAAATTAACTTTCTAGTATTTTAGTCTACTAAGTGTTCAAGACTCAAACACACATTTCCCTCAGTTGTATGGCCTTCATTCTTCCTTTTCACCTGGTCTCTATTCCAACCTCCTCCTTTCCCCACTTAACAGTGTTTTCTGTGTCTTCTTTTGTGTCTCCTCCCTTCACCTCTGTGCCACTCAACAGTTCATATAAGTACCCAAGAGAAAAGTGTGTCCTCCAGAGTAATGTGTACACCAGCGTCAATAGCAGCTTTACTCAGCTTTACTCCTAATCATCCCAAAGTGGAAATAACCTAATGACTATCAAATGATGAATCAATAAACAAAGTGTGCTATTCCATACAGTATGTTTGGTAATAAGGAATAGAGTGCTGACACATGATACCATACTGATGAACCTCAAAAATGTGTTAAGTGAAAGGATGATGGTTATTACATCTAAAAGGAATGTTCAGAATAGGAAAATCTATTGACAGACAAGAGACAGTGGTTACCAGGGACTGAGGAGGTCATGAATAGCTACTGATGAAAACATTCTAAAGCTAGATTATGGTAATAGTTTCACCATTCTGCATACACTAAAAACTCTGAACTGTTTGTTATACCTTTACAGGGTAAATTTTGTGGTATGTGAATTATATACTTATAATATTGTTACAATGGATTTAGCTCAGCAGCATAAACGACTGTCTTGCAAGCAGGCAGTCATGAGTTCAATCCCGGTTAAAAGGAAAAAGACCAAAAAAAAAAAATGTGTTATCTAGAGAAAATTATTTATTTCACAGGACCCTAAACTAGACAATGGAAATACTAAGTAGTCATGACGTGCTTGTGATTGTGTCAAGTGAATCTACTTGGCTTGTGCCTAAAGTATATTGATTATAGCCTTCTGACATGAAAATATTTAACTTACATGATTTTTCTTAAATTTTTTAAAGCATCTTCAGAAGTGTATAAGATAAACTTTATATTTCCAAATGGAGACAAGTATGGTAAGCATAAATGTCAATTATTTTTCCTATAGAGAAAATTTAAAAGCTTAACAATAAAAAACAAGACTGTCACATTTTATCAAACTACTATTTGAATATAAATTCACTTAAATAAAGTAGCATAGAAACCGCAATCGAGGAACACATTTTAAATCCAAACTCCAGTGTTAAGAGTAGATACTATGCCTTGATAACCTGCCAGATCTGTCCATCTTTCTGGCCATTGGGTCTCAGTGTCCTAGATCCATGGGTCTCTTCATCTCCAGCCTCATTGCTTTCAGTGCTGGGGACCCAAAACAAACATAGGGTACAGTTATGAACAGGCCCAGACATAAATATTATTTAGTCAAATACGGTTCCCATGTAAAGTATTTAGTGTTTCTTCCTTGTTTAGATGGTGACTGCACAAGAACATCTTCCGGCAGCTATGAGAGAAATGGAGTAGGTGTTTATACCACTCCTAATGGCATTGTCTACACAGGAAACTGGAAAGACGACAAGGTACTGTGCTTTCTGTTTTTGTTTCTTTTTACCATCATACTGGGGATGGGCACTAGAGCCTCCTGAGTTACAAACCTGTGCTGTACCACTGAGCAACACCCCAGCCCTTACCACTGTTTTTAACACTGATGGCAGATAAATTATCCTATGGATTAAATGGTTTAAACATTAATAAAAAAATATATGTAATGAATAGACTGTAACAAATTAATATATTCAACATATATTTAATACATGCATAGTATTAAACTTGCAAAGAGAGCTAATGATCATTGTTATTATGTCTCATCTCCTATTTATTAAGTAGACCTAAACTCATTCATAATTTTCCCATTTACTCTTCAGACTCACCTTATCAGATAGGTGCTATTAATATTTTTCTTAAATGAGGGGCTGGGGATTTAGCTCAGCGGCATAAGCATCTGCCTTGCAAGCAGGCAGTCGTGAGTTCGATCCCCGGTACCGATAAAAAGGAAAAAGACAAAATAAATAAATAAATAAATAAATAAATAAATAAATAAATAAAATATTTTTTTCCCTCCCTGGTAAGTGGCAGTAGTGTGGCCCACTGCAGCCCTTCCAGGGGGAGAACCAGCAGAGTCTCCTGAGATCCACAGCATGTTGGAACTTAGGACTCTGGGAAGCCAAGCCAGCACCTCCCCTCCCTGGTAAGCAGAGGCAGGGTGGCAGACTGCAGCCCTTCCAGGGGGAGAACCAGCAGTGTCTCCTGAGATCCACGCCATGTTGGAACTGAGGACGCTGTGAAAACAAATGACCATCCTGCCTCCCTGCTTAGCAATAGTGAACCTACTGCTACATGGCCTAGAGTCAAATATCCCACTTCCCCTATTTCCCCCCCCCCCCATTAGCAAATGGGAACCAGAAATCTGAGCCTCTCCTGGGAGGTTGACCATAGCAAATAAGGGGGACTTCCTTCTACCATTTCTTTGAAGGCAAATATTTTTATTACTGTTTTGCTCTTTTCTGATTAATGGTACTGCTCTATTCAATATTCTGTTTTGATAAATTCTATAGTATTCTATATTTCATCTCATTTTGATATACGGGGTTGAAAGAACAACTGTTATAAAGATAACAAAATATACTGTGATACCTATTACTGTTATGCCGGTAACCTGCTGTGAAGTTCTGTACCAATTTCACATACGATCTTAGTTGGCTTTATTCTGACTTGTTCTGTTGTATACTTTCAAAATAAAAATTAAAAAAAAATTTCTTAAATGAGGGAATTCAGGCTCAGTTTTCTTGTCTAATAAATGATAAAACAAAAAGGTATAACCAAGCCCATTTGAATTCAAATTTACATTCTATTTTTTGTTTTCTTTTGGTTGGATGCGTGCGGGCACGCGCTGTGTGTGTGTGTGTGTGTGTTTTTATATGTGTGTAGGGATTCTGTTTCTGTATTGATTTTCAAAGTACTAGGGACTGAACTGTGGTTTTTTACCCAGAGATACATCCCCAGCCTTTTTTTTTTATTTTTGAGACAAGATCATACCAAGTCACTAATTGCCCAGACTAAAACTTGTGATCCTCTTGCCTCAGCCTCCCAAAGTTCTGGGATTCCAGGTGAGTGTCACCATGCCTGGTTTAAATTGACTTTCGTAATTAATATTCTGTACTTTTTTTCCTAAACTAAATAAACTGGTTGCCCTTTAAGATTGCTGATACATTTAAGGCTTCATGAATATCCCTGTTTTCATCATCATGTTCATGTGTCCCAGATGGAGAACATTTAATTTAATGGGCTTCACAGAATGACCCAGAAGAAGGACAATGATAAAGTGTCTACTTTTGTCAAAATACTAATACAAAGTTTGTTTGTTTGGTACCAGAAATTGAACTCAGGACTTCGTGCTTGTCAGGCAGGTGTTGTGCCATTGAGTTATATCCACAGCCCCTCTTGATACAAAGTTGACCAAATACGATGGGCATGGGGGCGCATAGCTATAATCCTAACACTTGGAGGCTGAGGCACAAACATTTCCCAGAGTTCAAGGCCAGCCTAGGATACATAGCGAGACCGTGTCTCAAAAAAACCAAAAATCAAACGAAACAAAACCCAAAGTTAACTAAATAATAACTAAGTTAACGTGTGTGTGTGTGTGTGTGTGTGTGTGTGTGTGTGTGTGTGTGTGTATGTGTGTGTGTGTGTGTGTTTAAAAGTTCCGGGAAAACTGCGATGCTTATATTCTGAGGTCCTTTCTTTTGTTACAAACAGATGAATGGTTTTGGAAAACTTGAGCATTTTTCAGGAGCAGTATATGAAGGACAGTTTAAGGACAATATGTTTCATGGATTGGGAACTTATACTTTCCCAACTGGGGCAAAATACACTGGAAATTTCAATGAAAATAGGTAAGCTTCTGCTTTAAAAAAAAATCACTATATTTATCAAACTTAATTCTGTTGGTTTTTTTTCCCATACCGGGAGTCAAACTCATGACCTCACGCTTACCAGGCAGGTGCTTATGCCGCTGAGCTAAATCCCCAGCCCTGCTGTATTTCTAAAATGTTTTCAGCTATGCTTTCTTAAATATCATATCATATTTTATTTATTCAGACTTTTTGAGATAGAGTTTTGCTATGCAGTTCAGCTAGCCTGGAACTCACTTTGTAGGTCAGGCTGACCCGAAATTGCATCAGTCTTACTGTCTCAGCCTCTTGAGTGTGAGGATTACAGGTGTGCACCACCATAACCATCCTGTTATAGTTAGTTAATTCTAAGTGTTTTTGTAATGTTTTCAGTCACCAAACACTGTTGAGTTACTTGAGGTGATAGGGAGTGTTATAAATGAGGGTAAGAAGTCCATAGCCTCCCAAGGGAAGTATCATTCTCAGTGACAATCCATTAGACTTTTCATATCCCCTTTCTACCTTTCTGTTACTGTAGAACTTTTTGCAGTAGGTTTAAAGATAGAAAATATAATTATTGTAAAAACTTAGGTCAAAAATAATTTTCACTTGAAATATTTTGATATACTTTTTAAGAAACAGCCTTGGGGTAATTCTGTAATTATTTTTCTCACTTGATTTCACTCATGTATGTGCTTTTACTAGACTGATTTTTTTTTTTTTTGTCTTTTTCTTTTTTTTATCGGTACCAGGGATCGAACTCGCGACTGCCTGCTTGCAAGGCAGGTGCTTATGCCACTGAGCTAAATTCCCAGCCCCACTAGACTGATTTTTAAAATGTAAGCAAAATTAAATTTTAGATGGGAGAAATGTACCCACTATTCTCCTTTCTGAGCATATACATGTAGAAAAAAAAGTGAGATGAAAAATGAGTGCAGCTTTACAAGCTTAATCTTCACATTAAATTCCAGGCCATGCCATCCAGAGGTTCAACTTCCTTTATAGATACACCTTTCTTACTTATGTATAGTTGATAATGCAATCTAATTGTTAGCATGAATACATGGGAGGGGGGAAGTGTTCACCTGTTTTGACTCCATGTTTGTAATAATAATACAGAAACTTAATAAACACTGATATTAATAAAGAGGGGATTCTGACTTGTGGGGTAAATCGTATGTGAGTACATTTTCACATCCAGAGACCCTAAGAAAGCAGCAGCACAGTGCCTAGGACCTCAGATACAGTCGATGATGAGACTTCCGTTGAATAAATTAATGAACCAGTGTAAACTTAGTTTTTAGCTGTTGTAGCTTAAACAAAGTTACTTATGTGATCCTAAAATCTCAGACACCAAAACTTGAAATGACAATGTTTGTTTGGAATACTGTTTCCTCATAGGATATAGAAGCAAAATTCTGGATTTTAAATCAAAACTTGAAAGTAAAAAGACTATAAAATTCTTGCACTTGATTGATGAATAATAATTAATGAATGAACTTATTTTCATATTGCAGGGTGGAAGGTGAAGGGGAGTACACTGACACCCAGGGACTTCAGTGGAGCGGTAACTTTCATTTCACAGCTGCTCCGGGCCTGAGACTGAAGCTCTACATGTAGATGTTCTAAATTTAAGTTTAAATGGGGTAATTGAAGTTTTCAGTTCTAAGTAGAGCAACTAACTCTGTCATCCGAAATAACTTCATACAGTACCTCTACAAGTTTTCCAATAAAACCATCACTCGTTTATGTCTTTCTGAATTTTATTTTTGTTATTATGTAGTTTAAAATAAATGATGTGGTTCAATTCAAGGTTTGCTTATTTTCATAAATATAGCAAACCAGGAACTGTAATCTGGAGGCTGTCAGGAGGATTGTGACTTCAAGGCCAGTGTGGGCTACAGAGTGAAATCCTGTCTCAAAGAAACTTAAATAAATACTTACACACCTATATGTGGCACACCTATCCAGATCTCGGCAAAGTCAATTTCCAGTTACAGGTCTGGATTTTATAAGCTTTTGTTTTCTAGTTTATGCTTGCATGTTTATTTTGGAAGAAAAAAATTTCCAAGGTGTATTTTATAGTGTGCAAATACTTGGCCTACAATGAATTTTTTGCTATGATAACTGTAAATTGAAATCTTCTTAAAAAGTAAGTGTACAGGGGCCAGAGATTTAGGTCAATGGCATAAGTGCCTGCCTGGCAAGTGCAAGGTCGTGAGTTTGATCCCTGGTTCCGCAAAATAAATAAATAAATAAATAAATAAATAAATAAATAAATAAATAAATAAGTTACAGTGCATTATCACTGATTAAGGGAAAGTGTGCTACATCTCCCTAGAGCTCACTCCCCTTGCTTGGCTGAAATGTTGGGCCCACTGAGCAGTAAATCCCATTTCCTTCTGTGCTCAGCCTCTTGTAAATCACTATTCTACTCTGATTTTATAAAGTTAAGTGTTTTGGATCCCAGGCCCCACTCATGCAATCCTGCACTAGTTGTCCCTGCGATTGGCTTATTCCACTCAGCACACTGTCTTCCAGGTTCACCCAGTTCACCACACATTTGCAGAATTCACTTCTCTTCTAATGGCTGAATAGTATACACACACACACACATGCACACACACACAACAACATATTTTAAAAAATCTGTTGGCTGAGCATATAGGTCATTTCCACGTTAGGTACTATGCACAGGACTGTAATGAGCACATAACATGGTAAGATGATCTCTTAAGATCCTAATTTCAATTCTTCTATATAAATACTCAGAAGTAGGATCAGTGGGTCATACAGTAGTTATATTTTTATCTTTTAAGGAATTGCTATGCTGTTTTCCATAGTAGCTGTCATTCTGAATTCCCATCCACAGTAAGCGAGAGTTTCAGTTGCTCCCTCTCTTCACCAACACTTGTTATGTTTTGTTTTTGTTCATAGCTACCCTGACAGATGTAAGTGGCATCTCATTGTGGTTTTGATTTCCATTTGCCTGATGATCAGTGACACAGCACTTTCTTCACATGTCCATTGGCCTTTTGTGTGTCGTCTTTGGGGAAATACCTATTTAATGTCTTAGCCCATTTTTAAATTGGATTATTCATTTCTTTATGCTTGAATTATTCCTTATGTATTTTATAGATTCTCTCCACGGATACGTGGTTTGCAGATATTCTACCCCATTCCCTAGGTTGCCTCTTTTTTTTCAGGTTGCCTTTTCAATCCATTGATTGCATCACTGTGGAGATTTTAGTTTGAGATAATCCCACTTGTGCATTTTTAGTTTTGTTGCCTGTGATTTTGGTATCATATCTATGTACATAATCACTGCTAAGTCCAATGTCATGAAGATTTTCCAGCACTGCAGAATGAATGAATGAGAATTTTCAAAAGGGTCCTCCTGTACCATGACCACATGGATTTATCCCTGGGATAAAAGGATTGATCAACATATGAAACTCAATTCATGTGGTTATCCACATTAACAAAATAAAGGACAAAAATCACATGATCATATCAACAGATGTAGAAAACGCCCATTTGACACAATTCAGCACACTTGCATGACAAAACTCTCAAATGAGGGGGGAAATATATATATATATATATTTGACAATGTCTCACTATGTAGTCCAGGCTAACCTTAAATTATGTAGCCCAAGCTAGCCTTAAACTCACAGTGATCTTCCTGTCTCAGCCTTCTGAGTGCTGGGATTACAGATGTGTATCACCACACCTGGCTTAATAAACCAGGAATAACTTTCTATTTACAAATCATCCAGTGAAGCCATTTTATTACAGAAGCCCAAACTGACTAAGGCATTCAAAATAGCCCCCACTGGAGGGAAGTATAGAGACCTGTGATGGAAATTTTCTAAAATTAGATAGCAGCAATACTTCCATAATGTTATAAACATGCTAAAAAAAAATCACTAAATTTTTACTTCAAAGGGACAGATTTTATTTATGGTATGTGATTATACCTCAAGTTCCATTAAAAAGTAGATGAGGAGTCATTAATTATTCTATGCCCCATCTTTTAGATAAAGTAATTTTCAAAGTATCAGAACAAATGCATTGAATTGTTACCATGTGCCCCATAAATAGGTACCATTAACCAAGTAAAATAATTTTAAATGAAAAATTATCAAAACAGTATGTTAGCTACATTTCTAAAAGTACATTAAAGGTCGTGTTTTTGCTGAAACATCATTCCAAAACTAACAGACAAATAGTGTATGTAATAGTAATTTGTGTGTCCTATTTTTTCAAAATCTTGTAAATATTTATATTCTGCAGTGTGATTGACAAAAATTATATTTTTACTGTAATACAAATTGTATTAAATGTCTTAAAATGTTAAAAATATTTTGTCAGTTTCTCATAATAGCTTTGTTTTTTATTTTAAAAGATTCAAGTGTTTAAAGATAGACTTTTAAAAATTGGATTTCTTTTTGATTCATTGCTTATGGCTGATACTGTTTTAAATTAAATATTATTATTATCACTATTGTACTGAAATTTATAAGGAGATAAATACCAGACAAGATAAGGAGAGAATGTTTTCAGGGACCAGAACATAATGCAAATTCAAAATTTCTGGAAAATATGGAAAAGTATCTGTATTACTACAAATTCGATTTTCCCTTGTATTTTTCTTCAGATTATTTAAAGTAGCAAGGTATATATTTTACTCTTCAAATCTTAACTTTTTTGCTATATTACTTTCATTTCATGTTTTTATTTTTCTAAGATACCAAAATCTTATTTATTTTTCTAAGATACCAAATCTTGTTAAACGGTTTTCTTCCTCTTTACTCCTTGAAACTAGACACAGTTCAGTTATTTGATTAGTTGATGCTAGAATTTGACCTGGAGCTTATATAATTAGAGGAGACACTAGTTTTCCTCATTTAAAAGCCTGTTAGGATATGACACTCTTGTTTCAGGGGAAGTCAAACCTCTTTGCTGCTTCTTTTTATAACCTTTAAGTTAATCTGAAATTCAGATAAGCCTTGATCTGAGGATGATATAACCACAGCAAGCAACATGGGGTAAGTGTGTCCCTCATATGCTTTAAGAGGCATTGAAAGGAAAATATTTTTATAAGACAAGAAAATTCATCCACCCTTACCACAAAGCATACTGATTTAAATTCAAAATATGCTAACAATTATTTCAGATAGTAATTCAAATATGTAACTGTTGTTTCAAAAGTTATAGCAATTTGCAAAGTATCCATTTATTTCTTAATTTTTATAGTATGTTTTAACTTGCCTTTGCAGGTTGGCAGCTAATGAAATACTAGGAAATATTTGAAGTTGCTCTGCATATTTACATATTTAGTTGCAACTGAGTTAAATTTTGAGAGCAGTCTTTTAAAACAGATAATAGAATTCTTGGTTTACAAGGCAGCCTAAATCCAACATGTATGTGACTCTTTGGGATTAAGGATAATTAAAGAATCAGGAAAGGTGAGGAATTGATTTATGCCTTTGTAACAAAGAAAAAGAGGATTCTGTCACTTCTCTATATATAAAAAAATGCTGATTATTTACACAGAGACATGTCTTTGTGAAATTTAAATACTTCATGAGGTTTTGGGGACATGTTGATAAGAATTGGGTTTTATGTGAAAACTTTCCATTCTTAAGAGAGAAGATTGATTTTGTTACTATTTGTATTGGAAGTTTGATTTTTTTTTTGCATACTGAAATAGTATATCCTGAATGTACAGAAATTGTTATCACCCTGTTATCTTTTTTAATTTTCCTTCAAAACCACTACTGCAAATAATACAGCTTTTTGACTGATGACTACTTTTGTAGGATTCAACATAAAGGATCAAAAATGTATACTAGAGAAAAAAGTTTTTGATACATTCATTCTAAAACAGTGTCCACAACTATAATTAATGTCTACATTTTTGTTGATGCTGTGGCCACGAAGAAGTCAGATAAACCATTTGGAAACTCAGAGACTTTTGAAAGGGAAAGTCATAATCTTGTTAACTTTTGATACAAATATAAATGATGTGTTTTGAAGCTGAAAGTTAGAAGTGCCACGCACAAGTATCACATGTATTTGGTAGATTTTGAGAGTGAGTTGGTGAGATTTCATACTGTCTTTAATCTACCTCCTTCCTTCCCTCTTTTGTGTATACAAGAATGTGTCTCCGCACAGCAAGCCGGTAGCAAACGCTGCTCTAAACTGCTCAGTCCCCTGCCCTTCCCTTCTTTTCTTCCTTTTCCTTGCTTTCTCTTCTTCCTTTCCTTCCTTCCTTCCTTCCTTTCTTCCTCCCTTTTAATGACAGCAATTTGTAACTTCTGAGAGGGGTCAAGGATTGTTTTCTTCTGAAACCAGTCCACCCTTTCTGAAGAAAAATAAAATGAAAATCACACAAAATTTTACAAACAATTTCAGGAAATTTGCACTTGGCCTGAAACCCAATTCATGGACCCCCAGGTGAAGAACATGTGATTATGATTTTTGGGCTAGAGTATAAATTATTCAGCATTCTTCATAGTTTCTGGATTTTTATAAAATGTAAGAATCTTTATAAGTTTATAGTTCTTGCTAATTTTTCTCATGGATAGGTTTGAAATATCCCCCTCCCAATTTGCATAAGAGCGAAACACAATTTAACCAATATTTATCACGTTAGTGCCATTGGTCCCCAAGGACTTGATTAATCACTTGTGCCGCTTGAGAGTACCAGGAACCACCTCTGTTGTCACAGAAGAAAAAAATATCCTCATTATATTATCCATAGGGTGCTTTCTGTGCCCTAAATAAGATAACTAAGCAAATTATAAATTGCTAAGTATTACACAGGATACTCATCTAACCGGCAGGCTTATGATTTAGTTTTTGTTTGCTCCTCCCTTATTGATAAAAAGATGTCAGTGAGTATAAAGACCTATTTACATCTTTCTAAAGCAATCAGAAAAATAAAAGGGGAAAGTAGAGGCTGATCAGATGTTCAAGTTTATCCATTTCAGCAAACCTCTAGAGTTTATTCTCCGAGAACAAGGGAGTGGCTGTCTTGGATTTGATTTGGGGACCTGCTTGTCTCAAAGCTATGTGAGGATCCTCTGCCTCTATCTGGGTCTGTGTCAGCGCTTTTTTCCTCTTTTTCTCAGGTTATGCTGGCACGATTTAGTTAGCAGTGAAGAGGCAAATATTAGAAAATTCTTATGCTCTCTACAAAGCCTGCCCCTCGTAAACTTTCATGGGATTTCTTATGGGGCGTGGGGGTGGAGTGAGAGAGTGAACATAAAGATGAGAAAAGAAATAAACTCTGGCACGTGGAGGAGCCTTACAGTGTGAGATGCCCTGATACCTGCAACTTACCATGACAACCGGGCAAAAGATGAAAAAAAAAATTTATTTAGGGGGAAGGGAGGCAGTTGGCAGCGCTGAGATTCATTTTGATACTTTCCCCATCTCCTAGTGAGACAGAAACCACAAAGGAATAAAAGCTGGGTGGACCCCTGGGGCCCCACTCAGGCTCTGTGACCCACTTAAAGTATGGTATGTGTTCTTCCTGCTCCTTACTTTCCCACATCATCTTATCGACCTCAAAAAACAGCTCTATCATTAACGCCAGGATATCTTCACTATAACATCTCTAAGAATAAACCAATGAGAGAATAAATCTGTTGGGGTTCACCACTGAGGGACAGAGGGCAAACACACTCCCAGGCTCCTAACTAGCTCCTCTCCCATGTCTTCTGCCCCGTGCCCCCTCCCATGGGGTCTCTAAACCCAGGCTCAGCCTTATCACAAGGCAGGATGTTTGCACAGAATCAGGGTGTCTGTAGACAGAGAGCAGTCGTTCCTGGGATAAGCCACCACCCTTCCTCAAGGCCGAGGTATTTGCACCGAAAAAGAAAACATGGTTGGAAACTATGCCCAGGGCCAAGGAAAATTCCCAGGCTTTAGCCCACGTCTTCCACCCTGCACAGGAAGACAACATTTGCCTGCTTTCCTGTCTCTGTCTCTGTCTCTGTCTCTGTCTCTGTCTCTCTCCCCATGACCACTAAACCCTAAACTTAAATGCCTCCGCCACACCCAGCTCTAAACAGACACTTTTCTAATCCAGGTCATCTTACATTTTGGGGATTATTAAAGATACCTACTCCCCGGCCTCTCTGCCGGTGCCCTTTTTCGTCTGCACCTCAACAAAGACCATCTTCTCACCGGAGCTGTGATCTTGTTGCTTCACTGCTCAACAACTTTCAGTGGCTCTTTATTCCCCCTAACGCAGTGCAGACCTTCCGTCTGCCCCCCCCATTCCCCCCCCCCCCCCAGTCTAGATTAGCTTCTCCACCCTCCAGGTTCTCCAGGGTCCCTAAATCCACCTGTGTCTTGTACTGCATTCTGCTGTTGATCCTGTTTTTACCATTTTCTGCAAAGCCCGTCTTAAAGCTCGTCTTCTTCATGAAACTCTAACATCCACTAACTTTCTCCTCTGGAAGTTTAGGCGCCTTCTGCATGTCGTAATGGATTCATAACCCATCCTGTGTTACAGTTACTTGTGTGATTTATCTTTCCTATTAGATTTTTTTGTATTTCAGCACCTAACACATTGCCTTTTACATGAGATGTGCATAATAAACACTGCTGAATTCAAATGAACTCTGTTTTTCCTCTAATCCACAATAAACTGAAAACTCGGGTTTAGGCAGACTTTCATTCTTCCCCCAACAGAGTGGCCCCACTTTCTAAGTTCCTCACTGAGGAGCTCGAGTGAGTAGGTAGCAATACAAGGGTGATGAAAGGGGGGATGAAGGCTGGAGGGACACACTAGAGGCCTTTGAAGAGTGAGAAATTTGTTGTTAACAAATAAAGAGCACACAGAGGCTCCAAGGAAATGTGGAGAAATTTTTTAGAACTAAAAATTGTTCTTGGGCTGGAGATATAGCTCAGTGGCATAAGCGCATGCCTAGCAAAGGCAAGATCCTGTGTTCAATTCCTGATACCAAAAAAAAAAAGTTGTTCTTGTCTCTGGATCACTATTGAGTTCATTTGTATATCATAAAAAGTGACTTTAAGCAAGTTAGAAGTGTGTTTTTCATATATCTGTGGCTCAGCGTGCAGCAGTGCAAGCTGTTAGACCAGTGCCTCGGCGTGAGGGACAGAGATCCTTCTGCTTACTCCTCACCATCTGTAGTGTGACACTTGTTGGTCCAAGAATGTTGCCATGCCCCCACTCATGTCACTGCTATTAGCCAGCATCCAGGGTGGCAGCTATCAGCATCTGACAGACCCAGCATCAGGCTTTACATTGTCTGCTCTATTTCTTTTGGACCAAGAACAGAATTACGCACAAAAGCAATAACTTAAGAAAACCTTTCTGTGATGTTAAAGTGGAGAAGAAAAAAAAGCATGCCAAGCTGGGACTAAGCATATTCTCACCTAAGTTAAAGGACAGAACCCCGTGACAAAGGTGACTAAGCCTTTGCTTCCCTCCCTTAACTCTCACATTTGCCTGAGAGGTGAGTATTTTTGTTCTAAAGCCAGTCATATAGGTCAGGAAAGGGAAGTCCAGAAAGATTCAGTAAACTGGAAAAAAAGTCCCAGATGTTTCAAAGAATGAAAAATAAATAAAACATACAGCTGCTTTGGAATCTGCCATCGAAAGCAATATAAATCAATGAATGTTTACCATGTAGATTTGTACTTAATTTTTTTGTAGAGCAACTTAGCCCCTACAGAAAGATGTATTACAAACCCAGTTCACTTGTCTGGTGAAGGTGATTTCACTTAATGTGGTATTTGTAGGAAAAACTCTCTACTAATGCCTTTAAATATTTTAGGTTTAGATCATTGCTTTGAACTCTTCTGACTGAGCAAAGCCTCCTAAACCATGTCAAGTATTTTAGCTATGTTAAGAATTTATTTTTCTTAGTCATCCAAAGATAAAAATGCTGAGATTGTTGTGTCTACTTGAAACTAAATAACTTAAAAATTAAAAGGCTAAGAGAAACAAGGACTTTGGCTTTTTGACTTTAGATAGTTCCACAAAATTTTAACAATAATGAATTGTGTATATAATAACTTTAATTATATGTGGGGGAGAGGATGACATACAATGCAAGGTGATTGTCACTGTCAGTGACATTTTATTTTTACAGAACTTTTCAAGAAGTTGGAAGGAAGACTTCAAAAAATATGATGTGATGTCTCCCGGTGGAGACAGGGCAGGAGGTAAGTGAGAATTCCAGAGAACTTGTTTCTAGTTAGAAGACAGACAAAAAGACAGCTTAGTTATTATAAATGGCTTGGAAAACTTGTCAACTTCATTTAAAACCCATCAAATGTACAAATTACTTAGGGATTTCTTTAGACAGGCATCAGGGTTAGCGGTCATCTTATAAAGTAGGTGTGTTACATCAGATTTCTACTGCTGTATGATTGTTTTTATATAATATTGAGACCAAAAAGCACAGTATTTTAACTGAGTTTGGTTTTAGACATCTTTGAAGGTCGCAAAAGCAAGCAAGCAAACAAAGCAACCTTAAGAAAGACATTTATTGTGCATTGAACTAAATGAGTACTACTTTTTGTGTTGAGTTTTTCATACAATAGCTACGTAAGGTAGGTAACTACTATGGTCCATTTTACAGTTAAAAAGCCAACCTCATAAAGATCACAGAATGAAAGCAGCAGAACCGAGGCAATCCCAGTAAGTTGTGGGGCTGAGGCAGGAGGATAACGAGTTCAAGGCCAACCTTAGCAAGCCTGTCTCAAAATAAAATGAAAAAGGGTTAGGGTTGTAATTTAGTGGTGGAGTGCTTGCCTCACATATCCAAGGTCCTGGGGCTGGGGAAAGAAAAGAAAAGAAATGAAAGAGAAGAGAAGAGGAAAAAAACAGTAAAGAAAAATAATAGAGCTAGGACTTAAAGCAAGGTATCGATACACTTAAAAAATCACTATAGTTTAAAGCATAGTTTTTAAATTTCAAAAATAAAAAGTGCTTATCATAAAACAAATGCAATTGGGACAGAAAAGTGTAAATAAAATTTGAAAGCCCATCCTAGCTCTAACTCCATCTTTCTTTCCAAACTAACCACTGCTGGCATTTTGTTATGGAACCTTCCATAACTTCCCTTTTGTCCAGAGTAGTTTTCACTCTGTCATATTTTCTGCCTTTTTAAAAAAAGGAGTTAAATTTGCTACATATCATATCACATAGTATAGATATATGTATATATAGAAAATAAGATAGTTACTCTGATTTCTCTGAGCTCATTGAAGAGAAAGATCTGTGCTAGTATTGTTCAGATGATTAAATGCTGATGTCTTGTACTATGAGTAACTGATTTGTAGATAACAATACGCAATGTATATACCATTGTTACCCCCTAATGATTGTCTTTTGAAATTTTGTTTTATTTTTTCTCTTCAAAATAAAATATTTACTACATATCTTGATTAAAGTAAACGTTACCTTTAAATGATAACTAATACTTTCATCGGTGAACATCAGGCATCTTACTATAGAGGTTCAAAGAAGAATTGAACTCACTCTGTTTCCTAAGGACTCGTAATTTAGTGCAGTGGTTTCTAATTTCTTATTTTAAATTGGGGGTGGGATTGAGACAGGGTCTTTCTTTGTAGTTTAGGCTGATCTTGAACTCACTGTGTAGCCCAGGCTGGCCTCAAATGTCTGGCAATCTGCCTCCGCCTCCTGAGAACTGGGATTATAAGCCTGTTAACATGCCCAGCTCCCAATTCACTTTCAAGGGAGTAATTATGGACTCTTTGGCGACTGATGTGAGTTCTGAACCCTTTTTCCCCAGAAAATGAACTTATATAACATTTTGGGTTTATAGATGCCCTGAGCATATATGGACTTTTTTTTTTTTTTTTTGGTCCTTTTTAGACAGGGTCTCGCTGTGCAGTTCAGGCTGTCCTTGAGCTCACTTTGTAGCCCAGGCTGGTCTCGAACTCGCAACAATCCTCCTGTCTCAGCCTCCCTGGGATTACAGGTGGGAGCCACCACGGCTGGCTTCATATACGGACTTTTATAAAAGTTAATAATTGACAAAAATACTCACATAGAGAGGTGGAGAGATGCTAAGGCAGCACAGAAAACCAGGGCTTAACTCTGCTTGGACATGTCAGGAAATAAAGACAGAGAGACACAGAATCCTAAAGGACACCAGGCGTCCAACAGGGAGTCTAGGACAGGGGAACGAGGCCCGCTAAGGGAACAGCATTAATGGAGCCCAGGAAAGGTCAGAGAATCCCAGTGTGTGTTTGGACTGACCAGATGAGTCTGCAGAGCAAGGTGGACCCTGTTGGGTTAGGACATCTGAACTTCGAGCAGTCACTGAAGGATTTTTGGTAGGAAGGCTAAAAATCTATAGTGAACACATGATGAAATAAATATTCCTGGGAATAATAATTTAGATACTTGAGTAAGATGTAAAAAAGGAGACGTCTGCTTAATTCAGAGTTAGGAGGGGCTCACTGGCTAAATAATATGCTATTAAAAAGATATATTGGCAAAATCAGACGAAATTGGTTGGAAGGCCAATGCTTTTACAAAAGGAAATTAGAATAATAAAGTTCTGAAGCTATGAGATAAAAGGACTAGATGTAAAACTCTAAACTTGGACAGCATGTTGGCCCCCTTGCCATGGTGAGCCTAATGCAAAATCAAGTGAGTGTCAGTTCCTCAGGGCCACTAACTAGGTCTTGCCCCCGCCCTACCCCCAGCCCAGGTCTTCCCAGAGTTAGGGGGCGGGGTGCTGGGCTGTCTGTCTGGTTTCTCCCAGTGGCTGGCTGTCTGGTTTCCCACAGATCTTCCACGTGCCAAAGCAGGAGACCGGCACAGGGTACACAGCATCGGATTCTCAGTATTTCTACACTAAGCGTGTGCCGCTTTTATAACTGTTTTTGTAATTATAATGGCAGAGTTTGTTTCTAATATTAGTCTCACTTCCTACTTCTTGGGAGTGCCTTCATAAAGTCTCAGAGACATTTCACTTAATAAATATTCATTATTTATTAACAATTAGAAGTTTTAGCTCAGGCGTGGTGGTGCATGCCTGTAATCCCAGCGCTTGGGAGACTGAGGCAGGAGGATCTCAGTTTGAGGCTAGCTTGGGCTATGTAGTGAGTTCAAGACTGGCCTGAATTACAGAGTGTGATTCTATCTCAAAAATAAATAAGTACAAGAATTAAAATTTTAAGAGTCATAAAGGAATTTATCAGGCAGGAATTTAAAAGTATATACTCAAAGAAATAGAGTGTGAGTCCTCAAGAGAGATACGCTACAGTTTATAGCTGGGAATATTTATATGTTTTTGGTGGTAGAAATCTGTGGAATTTGTAGGAAGTTCCATCTTGGTCTTGGTTTATAAGTAAAGGATGGTCTACTCGCTCAAAGATAACAGCCCATTTTGTAGGAGAAAGAAACCTAAAATGTTTTGCCTAGAAACATTCTTTGAACTCTCCATATGTTCGTAAAGCGATCAGGAGTCTGCCCTTTACTTTATCAACTAAACTAATCCATGGATTTAAAGTACCTTGAAGGATTTGGGGTATGATAGACCTAAAAGGAAAAAAACATAAACAATCTAGGGAATACTGATATAGATAACCTTGGGAACTTGTGCCCTGGGGTTGTCGTTTTAAATGTACATTTTCAGTTCTTGCCTTCCTTGTCTCCTTTCTGTTTAATTTCATTTCTTTCATCCTCCTCGCTCTCCTTGGTTCCTTATTCTTTACATTTTTTTTTTTTTTTTTTTGTCTTTTTCCTTTTTATCGGTACCGGGGATCGAACTCACGACTGCCTGCTTGCAAAGCAGGCACTTATGCCGCTGAGCTAAACCCCTAGCCCCGTTTCCTTATTCTTAACATGTGCAGAAGGGCTAAGGAGTTTTCTTCCCAAAACTGCTTCCCGCTGTGGGGAAGCACTGATGCTGCCTAAAGGAGCCTAAAGAAGATGATGGGTTGTTGTTCAAAGAACCACTGGAGATTTAGCTCAGCGGCGTAGGCAACTGCCTTGGAAGCAGGCAGTTGTGAGTTCGATCCCTGGTACTGATAAAAAGGAAAAAGACAAAAACAAAACAAAAAAACAAAACCCACACCTTGTGATAGTCTGGAAAAGAGGACAGGAGCATTAAGTCACTGATAATTAAACTGCATTTTACAGCAATGTTAAATAAGCGGGAGGTAAAAGTTAAAAGTGGTATCTGATGAAGAGTAGTTCAAAACGTTGTAGGAGTCAGACAAAATTAGGCACCTTTTGGAGTAAGCCTTATATTTTCTTTTCTTTCCTTTTTTTTTTTTTTTTTTTTTTTTTCCTGTCTTTTTCGTTTTTACCAGTACCAGGGATCGAACTTACGACTGCCTGCTTGCCAGGCAGGCGCTTATGCCGCTGAGCTAAATCCCCAGCCCCCAAAGACTTGAAATTAGTTGTATGAGTTCTGAAACATATGTCATTCTACAAATTCTGTGACACTGTTTGTTTACTTTCTAATCTATGTATTGGCAGTATTGGGGATTGAATCCAGGCCTTTGTGACAGTCTTTTTTTTTTTTTTTTTTTTTTTTTTTTTAAGCCTTATATTTTCAACAATAGCCTCTATTTGTCCAGAAGTATTAACCCAAGTCAAGTAGAATTTAAGAGCATACAGACTTTTCCCTGTTTGGTCAAAGAAATCTAATGTTTCCTTATTTTAACTATAACAATAGTGATGGAATACACTATTTATTTATTATCTTTATGACATTGATGTTTTGATGATCATCAGGCCATTTGATTTTTTTACTATAAGCCTTAGAACTTGGATCTGGTCCCTATGTTGTAGAGCTGAAGACCTTTTGTAATATTCACATCCAGATAGTATAAATATATAAATTTAGTTTTTACCACAAAGAAACAAAGCTTAGCAGCTAGAATATTTATATTGCAATTATTATTCTATAGGCACATCTACAGAAGAAACCAAATCTTTATCTGGAGGGTACTTGAAAATCCATTAACAGGCTGGGTATATTGGCACATGCCTGTAATCCCAGCATTTGGGAGGCAGCAGGATCACTGAGAGTTTGAGGCCAGCCTGGGCTCATAATAAGACCTTGTCTCAAAACAAACAACGATCAAAACAAAAAGGAAAGTCCTTTAACATAGCATAACTGCAATATACTAACTGTAGTTGAAGAACTTTTTTTTAAAGAGTTACTGGGACTGGA